TACTTACTTTTACGGTTATATGATGGTTTCTTTTACCTGATCAAACGGAGAAACGATTCAATATTGTTGACTTGCTCATGCAGTGTTGATAACTTGTTCACGAGAAAATATAGAGAGGTTGAGGAAAGTATAAATTGATTTACATATATAGATACGCATAGGTAAAGGAGTGTATAATGCTCATTTTATCATGGTTCTGTAGTTTATGGTGACATTCTGCTAAAATAAGTTTTGTTTATAAACCCACAAACTTCAAATAAACGGGTAGTCGGGTGCTGCCATAGTAACGTCCGCCTTTCACCTAGCCGTCCGCGGTTCGAATTCCGGAACGAACGTGAAGAGGAATTGGGTCACGTGCCCGACCACTTGGGTTTCTCACAGTACGAAAACCCCGTTCGCATTCATACAAGCCAACAACAGTTAATAATATAAGCTGACAGCTTTTTTCTCAGTTGAAATATGAATAAAGTTTATATTTAAATTAACGGCGGATTTGTTGATCAAATATTCACATCCGAGCATAGTTTAACATTCTCCTTAAATTTGATCACTGGAAAATCCATACGATAATGACTTATTGTCGTGATTCAGAATACACACATCGATTTTCTTCTTAAGTTATCATCTATTTGAAAATATTAAAAATTAGGTAGTTAGATAGGACATCTCATCAACTAGATTCTGACATTTCAATTTTTAATGCCTTCAGTCGCCTCCAGGATTTTACAATTTATGCCCTTGACATCAAGGACGAGTTAGAGAAGGACGAAGCGACTGTTACTGGTGAAATCCAATTAATCATATTCCTCTATTGTATCTAATTCTATCATTTGTTAATTCGTTTATCATTTTTTCCTGTTTTATCAGTTCAATAATTACATCCTTTAATTTTCTTCTTCAATACAAAAAATAATTATTCCATTCATTGCAATGGCTTTAAATGAATTTTCGTTTTCACAGTCTGTAGTATAACTGAATTATGCTTCCCATTATTTTAACTCGACGAGACAAGAGTCTGTATTTTCATAATCGACACGATTTACATATAAGAATTGCGACGACCTCAACAAAGCTAAGACACTAAAAATACAGGTAAATAGGTAAAACGCAATCTTTCTATCGTGCAACTAAAACAAATAGACATAAAAGAACACAGGGGAATTCAGTACCCGGTGGTAATTGAGTTTTGTGTTTTTCTCTTTTGAGATAATTGACCAATCATTATTTATTGATAGGCAATACCGATCGTACTGAAGGAACCTGTTACCAGCCATGTCAAGCATGTGCTGGGTATCGGGTATTTATGTCGTGTTACATGGTAAGATAACCCGTAATATATCAAACACTCTTTGTGTCTATTATAAACCTGGTTTAAAGTCCACCTGGGAGTTTAATGCACTTGTTAAAGTTTCAAACAAATGAAGTATCGGAACACGCGAGCATTGCATATATATTGTTTCTGTAACATATATCTGTGGTATTTGATAGTGCTATTTCAGCGACACTTCACGTGAATTATAAGTGGCAAATAAAACAAATAAATGGACTACGCATGCGTTAAGTGCATCGCAGAGTAATCTATATTAAGCATAGTGCTAAAGCATCTTTGATCTTACGACTTAATCATGACGTTTACCTGGTTCATGTAATGTCTAGTTGTTTTAACTTTCACTGCCGTACCTGTATCAGGTGATGCAATTCACACGGATTTTCATCACGGTATATGTTTACATACAAATAGATCAAAGACCATTGTATATTTTTCTACCTCAGTGTTAAAACCTGAAAAGGGGTCAAGTCTAACCTAGCTGTTTGATACTTATCTTAATTTTAGTAATGAAGCCTTGCGTGTTAGCATGGTATATATCTCTCTGTTGTGTTATTGGATATTCTCATCGTAAGTGACTTCCTCTGAAAGTATTGCTACAATACTCTGGATAGATTAGTTTCTTCCATGATTTTGTGTTATATTTGCTAAAGCCATTCACTTCAAACGGTACTGTATAACAATTAAGCTATCTCTATGAGCCTCTGTGGTATTTTAGTGTTTTAATTGTCATAATGTAGCCTCAAGAAAGGAATTGTTGTATGGAAACTATGCTATGAAGCCAAGGTTCAAAACGACTATATCTGTCCGAAGAGCAACAAACACAAGTACACTTTCCACTTGTTGGTTGTGTAGAAATAGTTTAATGTTCAATATTGTCTACAATAATACTCTTTTTTCGCACAACAGTATTCCATCATACTGATGTAGATAGTATACTCTATATAACTGATTAAATTGATATTTGTTCCTGGAACCAATTAGATTCTAAGTTACACCAAAACGACCACAAGTTTGTTAATATCTGGCATGGCAAAAAGAAATGCCTTTTGCTGGTGGTAACAGATCCATTATTTTCAATTAAACCTGCTACAAAAATTTCCCGAGTTAACCGTTGGCATTTATAAAATGATAACCAACAATTTCTTTACGACTGATTTAAAGTGTCAGTTCTAGGAGTTGTTAAAGGCAGATTGAGTAATTGCAAACATTGTAGAAACGAATTAAGATTTTGTTTTCATTAGTGCTGTTGTGGCTCTGAATTATGGCTACGACTTCAAACTCCAATGAAAATCAATTCCATTTCTTAATTTAAGCACACTTAAAACATGCATCGAATTTAAATGTACCATTGTAAAGGGACATCAATTATATATGATCCTAAAGTTGCGTTTTGAAACCCCTATTTAGTATGTGTACCCCATAATGCTTCCTTCATCACTGGCTTAAAGAACAGAACACTCTGAAGTGTAGACACCGTAAGGTGCAAAACGTTACATCGGTTTCTATATTAGACAGTAAATGTGGCAATATGCATATAACATTAAGTTCATTTCGTACTTCAGTAATTCAAATATTTGCATCAATTTCTGTCCCGTCGTGATGAAATTGCAGAGGTACAATATCCATGTAAAACAGTACAAATATCCATGGCTCCTGCCCAAATAATCCGATTGAGATCCATGTATGACACGACTTGGCACTCTTACAGACTTAGGTGCAATAAAGTACCATCATGTGCTATATCTGGAATTTCTCTCGAGATTTACCAATACATTAGTGATTGCTAACGTAGAATTAATCTACAAACTCGATAGTAATAGTATGTTTCGACGTAAAACATTCGAGTGATTTATATATGTGGTACGTGAGTAACAAGAAAACTGAGTCAAAGAAGTCTATGGTATTGCTTTACAGTTGAGGAAATTATTTTATCAGACAACGATTTGCCATAAAAAGGGAAGGTGTATGAATGATCGGGTGGTGTATTGGTAACGCATTTGCAATTCGATTTCAGCAACGGACATTACCTCGTGGTTTTTCCCAGGTGTTCTTGTTTCCTCCCAAAGCTTCCATGCAGGCCATCAGAATCATAATAGAAGAATATGAAGGTGGAGAGGAGGTGGGTGGATGGGTGGGTGTGGTCAGTTGGGAGGGGGATATGCATGTGTTGTAAAACATTAATTTTGATATTTATGTCAAGTAAGAAAAGCCATTGTTTTTTTTTTTTAATTTTTATCGATAGTTAAATGTCATCTACGGTTATTGATTATTGATAGTATATATGTAGGTCAGAGATCATTTATTTAAGTGTGAGGCGAATATTTGTGAGCGGGTCATGGTCTTTTCATCAAGTCATTTAGATTTGATGTCGGTTTTTTATTTTATAACATTTTCCATTTTCATTAATATTATTTGTTCGGAGTAATGCATATAAACAATTACCGAATTACGTTAGTTTCACCGATAAGATGTAGTAATGAACAAAGGATTTACTTTCAAAATAATATCAAGTTTATCTAATAATTATTCTTTATATACGATATGAAAAAGTCTGTAATTTAAAATAAATGCTATAACATTACATAGTGTGAAGCCATACCACCACGTGACACACGTTTACCTTGCATGTTCATGTTCAAATGAATAGTATAAGGTCGGAAACGACGCCATATCAAGTTTGTCCGAAAGACGCCGCCCTTCGAAAATTGTTGTCATTGCTGAAATGTGTTCTTTGGAGCGTCCATTCGTATGTACAATTGGTTAATTTAATCCTTCAAGTTTGCCGTAACCTGCATGTCATGTTTAAGTTTGAATAGTGACACAATTCAGAATATACACTTGCAACTGGCGTGGTGTTGAAAGCATCTCATATTTAACTTTTGGACGTTCTTGAACTTTGGGCTAGTGTGCCTCCAAATCTGGGTTTTGTCATTTCCTTAGAATTGATTTTAATTAACCTCACTTGCCTCCTCGGCTTCAAACTTTAGGTTCCCAGTATCACTGACATGTTCTACAAAATAGCTATATGATGCAGCTTTCATTCTCATGTGGCTATATTATATCTAACTCTGAATTTGTTCTGTAAGGTGCTTTTAACTTATATGTATTTTGTAGAATCTTGATGTACTCGTGACACACCAAAACGTACATGATAGAGTATGTTAAGCGACAATGATACTTCCACACGCAACTTCTGGCTTGTTTGGAAAATAAAAAAAATCCAGAAAAATATTGATCTTTGGTCAAACATGATCATGCATGCAAATGTACACATAGTTCTTGTTAAAACATATTCACCCATAATTTTCATACTACCTCACACTTCAATGATTGTACAAAAGACATACAAGAGAACGTGCCACCTTTCAATGCAAATTTAGAATAAGATACACTAGATACTAACCTTAATTTGCATCTAACAACCGCATTTCTTGTACTCATCCGTGAATGATAGTCTAAAATTTTAAAATCTTGGAGGCGACTGAAGACATCAAACAAAATCGAAAGAAATGTCAAAATGTAGATGCGGATGTGCAATTAAAACATATCGCAAATTAAACAATTAAGGTTTCCTTGTCTGTGATGCTTAGCTTAAGAATACAGTTATTATAATTATGATGGCGACAACATTGATATATGTATATACCACATGTTTTTCATTGTTACAGACATGCTTGAAAAGGGAATTCTGGTAACACTTATCACTGGTTTCACGGCCGTCATTGTCACCGTATGGATCACCGTCGACTTCTGTTTGTACAGGAGGAAAAAAGCTGCCATTAGAGCTGCCAAAGCAGATACGTTTTATAGAAAGCCGCATGCAGAGAGAGTTGTACAACCCTTCCAAAAGAAAAAGGAAGACAAAGGCAAAAAGGTATCTTCCACTCCTAAGCCAAGGAGAACATTAAGTGTCAGACAATTTATGAATTTTTTCAAGGGTAAAAAGAATGACGGTATAATTGATGACAAAGATTCAGTTATTGAAAGCGGAAATGAGACAAAAGAATCTGGAACCAAAGTTAAAAAAGGTGATTCAGTTCCAATATCTAAAGTGGAAGCTGGCGGAAGTAGTAAAACAGCTTCTGTGAATTCCGATGATAAGAGAAACAGCTCTAACAGATTATCAAAAGATGTCATTTTAGAAGATGGGGCATCCGAAGCAAACGTTCATAAAAATCCGTTACTAAATGGCGCAATATTGAGCAAAATACAATCTTCACCGAACTTTGCTGGTAAATGGACAAACGCTGTGGGTCCTTCAGAGCTTCCTGCCGGTAAAAAAGCTCTGCCTCCCTTAAAGGGCAAAGCATCATCTAAATCAATACAGGAAGGGATATCTGCTCTGGCGAAAGAAACTATCAATGAAGGTATTGGTAATGTAGATGATGCACAAAAGTCAAATACAGATATAGAACTTAACGAGATGAAGGATAACAAAATGAAATCAAAACCTCCATTCAAACAAAAAAATTCAAAGTCGAAAATGAAAACAGAAAGTGAGGTTTTTGTTTCAAAAAATGAACAAAATGATACTGAACAGAAAGTAAATACTAACGACGTCCAAAAGAAACCTCCATTATTAAAGAGAATTTCCAGGAACCGTGTAGACTCTATAAATGATGGCAGTACGTCAAGTACGGACACGAGAGAAACATTCGTTGAAGAAAGAGGGTCCTCAGCTTCATCATCGTGGACGTGTGATGAAAGCGGCAGGAAGCGAACCGGTAGTTTTTCAGACTCCACCACGTCATCCGGAAGTATCGAGCTGGAGAAACGTAAATTCAGATTAAAACCTTTAAAACGAAACCAGTCTAACATGAGCATGTCAGACACGACACCACTCACGTAGTTTAGAGAACTTGGTTTCGTTCATTTTCCACTCCTAACCCCAGTCAAAATTGTATGTCAACTGTGATATATTGTGACGTACTTCCGGTCTGTGATAAACGTTATTATTTTCTCTGACACAATCATGATTATACGTATTGAACAGTTTGATATTTACAAGTATACATATGCAAGCGTTGATTTATTATGTTATAGAATAATAAGAGTTTTCTTGCTGCGCAATACATTGGGAGGAGACGATAGCATGTTACGACACAAAAGGGGAATGGCCGTTTGATTTCGTTATGCAATACATTGTTATCCATTTGCACGTCAAATCAATATTATTCCACATAAGTTTGACTTAAATCATGTCATCAACAAAACTATTTTCAGATTGAAATCCCAATTGGACAACTGGTATCTTGTGCTATGTTAATAAAATCCCCCTTTTCTTAGAGAAAATGCTCGGCGACATTTATACGGGGAATACACATTGACTTGTTGTTTGCGTTGCTTGGAGCGATCGATAGAGACTCTGCAGGAGAGAGCGGATTTCTCACACCTGGAGCCAGTGTTAACACAGAGAGGGGTAGTGCTGTTTGAGTAAATGAATTATTCACTAACTTTATGTGGCAGACTTCCCTCGAGAATGCCTTGTTAGAAACGCGTTTAAGAACTGGTTAAGTGGTTGTTTTATTTACTATTTAGATAGCCTCAACACCAAATCATCACGTGTAATCCACACATTTAACACAGACCCACCAAGGATACCAAACACGTATTGTAGAGGTTAAAATTGTGGGCGTACATGTAAGTTCTCTTGCCACGGGCCTAGCACTTTCTCTTCAGATATTAGGTAGAAGAATTGACCATCGAAGCTGAAATAGGCACAACGTTGCTTTCTGCATTACAACAACATAGGCATCAAGTACATTTGATTATGATTATGTTTTAGAAGTGTTAATGCTTGTGAATGAATATTATAATGTCGCGACCATTAAATAACACCAACCAGTAGGTTGATGTGTGACAACATGCCCCATAGATATATCTAACACCGCCTTCATTTCAAAAGAGTTCCTAAACTATTGTTACATTTTGTTTAAAATATCTTTCTACCGATAACATTTTAAAAATGTGTAAATAGCTTACTTGAATAATTTATGTGTTTTCGTTTTTAACTATATTCATTTCAAGTCCACGAGGGTTCCTAACAATGATATACTCAAATACGCAACGTATCCTGATCCTTATCATCATAATAGTAAAATATGAACTGTGAAGAGTTTTGCTTTTTGTTTTTTTTCGTTTTGTTTTTTTCCGAATGCCGTTTCATCAAAAGATGGAAACAATAGGGGTGTTTTTTCACCGAAGACATGAGACTGATAATGGCATTTGTAGTTAGCAAATGTTGCTGGGGTAAATCACTAAAACGATTCAGTGTTTCCTACAATGTAGGGAATCTTCTCAAAGAACAAATCGCAAACTTGCGACACATAATCGAACGCACCTATTACAATCATCTCAGTGATTCTAAGAACAAATCGGTAATTCGTCAAGTTTCCGTTCCAGACTACTGACTGATTAGATACCCAGCTTCTATATGTATAATCTGCAGAACAACTGTTGTAGAATTAACTCAGTCAATGACGTATATATATTACTCACGATATTTATTATTTCAACACACATAAAGGAAACAAAAAATGTATGTTCTTGCTATAACCACGGAAGCTGTTGGAGAGTTTTGTTTTATAAATAAAGTATTACCTTATAACATAATGCCTTCTTGTTGATTATTTATTCTTTTGTTATTAGAAATATCAATAATGATACTTCAGCGCAATGTTCATTGCAGTGATAAGTCATCATCTTTCAAAGAATTATTCTTGTCGCTATATCGTTTCATGTAAAGAACTTCTGAATGACAAATGATATAAAAAAGAAAACAATCGAACCAAAGAGAAAAACAAAAGAAAATGAAATAGAAAATAAAACGTAAAACCAGGGATTCTGTTTTTGAGACAATAGTAATTCTGATTTGCATTTCTAGTATTAGGGCCATCAGTTTCACTGAAACATCTTTATGCCGGAATGTCGGAAAACAACATTGCTGTTATAAATCATGGCAAAGACAAATACAAAAATAAAATATAATCGTTTCCCAAAATAAACAAATAAATAAGAAACCATCGACATTTCAACAAAATTATTTCAAAATTCAAATTAAATGAAATAAAGATTTAGTAAATTCATGTAAAATATACAAGGCTAAGAAGATCAGGTGATCCGGAATGGTAACCGTCTTCTGCTTCACCGGCGACAACTGCTTCGTAAATTTAGGTTAATTCAAGTAAGTAATGATATATTATCAAATGATAATTAATTATTCCATGACGGTGTATGCATTGTATCCCGTGCGATTTCTATCTAGTTTACATTACCTAAGTTAATATATGAAAGAAAACAACGTTGGTTTTGAAGTTTTTGTTTAAAAGCATAATAGATCTTACAAGGTACGGCAGGGACAAAATTTTAAAAATCCAAACTTAGAAGCTGATCCTTACATATGTAACTGGGTGATTCTTTTTATCTTATATTTGAAGGTATGTGTAGGTAAACGCAAATACACAGCTGTGGCGGAGGTTGATGTTAATGAATATATAATGTGCTACAATATGGATATGATCAGTGCTATCGCTATGTTAGAAAAAATACAACTGAATAAAAAAGAGTTGCATGGGAGATAACAAAGTTTGGTCAGATTTGCTTGAAGAAAGCATATTCGTTCCAAAAGACACATCTAGAGTACTTCAAAATGATTGAAACAAGTCAAATATGGACTTAATGGGCGGGACAATACTGTCAAAATCCATGCTATAGGTTATCTGTGGACTGAAATTTATTTCCATTAGATTACCCCATCATAAAGGTTTTAATTAAAATTTACAAAAAAATAAATCCTTGCTAAAATTGGTCTTGTCATGTTGAAGTAGACAATGTTGGGTTTCATATTTTTCAGAAAAATATTTTAGCGTTGTTGGAAATTACTATTTTGGCAGTTTCGAATCTGTGTCTACGCATCGAAAACCAGTTTTACAGAAAGTGAAGTTTTCATAGTGTTTACATGTGGTCATGTTTTGAAGGATTTCCGAGTCGGAATTTGCTGAAATGTAAGCAGTTTGTTACCATGACAGTATTGTTGATTTTAAGACAGGTGTTCAGAAATAAATTTCTTACATGAAGTTGTAGTGTTAGGTTGGAATTTGCAGTATTTTTGCATTTTTTTTCAGTAGGTAACCATGGTAAATCAAATTTTAGATTAAATGATTATCATGGTTTTCAGTATTTACGTGAAAATCTCTCCTTTCCGATTTTGCATCTAAGATAATGTTGTTGAGGTTGATTTTGTTTATTTAAAAGATATCTTATTCGTTTAGGGTATTGAAATATATCTTTATTTGTTCCATATACAAGAGAGAGATATACTTGTCCGAGTCTAAACGTTTTCTAGACTTGTCATCAATATATAAATGGAGGATATATGTTCTGTACAATATATTATCAACTATTTAATCAAATGTTGTAACGTACTTATATATGAAATAGGAAAATAAGCATCAGATAGCATATCCACATTTGGATAAAGTATGAGCATGATAACAATTCCATAATAATTGCTTAACTAGACAGTCAAATAAATGAGTGTGGTCAACACAATTTAGCAACATATTCATTATATTCCAGATAATAACTTAAACTCCATCATAAAACATTTTCATCCTCTCCTGTCTCGTCCTTGTGTGAAGATCCACACCAATGAAGACAACCGCGAATGTTAACAAATCGATGGAGCCCGCCTTGCTGATGAACCCGGTGTATAAGTACAACATAATTTGATATCAGCTTGAAGATAAATCTGTTCAGATGTGTGCTGTCAGTGTATAGAAATTATAAAGATTTAGTATCTTACTATTGTTTCATACTTTTATACCTAATGTAGTGTTATTCAAAAGATATTTGGTTAAATGAAACCATGACATTTTATGCAAATTAGTACCAAGCAAATTTCGACAGAAGGGAGGTAACTCTAAGTGTGAACTTATTTTACGATACACTGATCTTGATATCTAATTGAAATTACAGGAAATCGGTAACATTTGATAAGTCAGATTAAATTTACTGATCAAAACATAAAAATGAGATTATTCATTTTTGACTGACAAAATTTCTGTGAAAAACAAGAGAGGTTTGTAATTTGTTGAAAGGTATATCCAATTACAGGAATGCTATGATTCCGACTACTAAAGCGAAAGGAAATAGTCAAAAGTTAAACAATTTGTCGACTCATTTTGGATGATAACTGATTATCGATGAAAACTAATCATAATAAGAGTTTCAAGCTTTGTATTTTTGTTTACCAAACACATCGGTTATGTATCTCTCAGAAAAAAAAACTATTCAGATATAACTAAGCCCTGCTTACTTGAAAGAACAAAATATTGCTTGTAAAAACTGCTTATTTAGAAAATGACCGCCATAGATGATTAGAGCCCAAATCGTATTGGCTACTTTGTAAATGTTTATGATCAACATGTAGACCGATTGACTTCGAGAAATGAATTTTAAGTTATATGATTTTATCATTGTTGTGATCATCATTGTTTTATCTATGTATCTTAGATATATGAAATCATTATTTCTATTTAGAAGTGATATCGATTCAATGTTTTACGTAAGGATAATATCGTGGTGCACATTTTACAAAAGAACACAAATTGAAAGGGGCTGATAAACAGTTATAAATATCATTTTATTTATAAAATAAATATCACCATGTGAAGATATACACTTAGCTTATATGATATGTCATTGAGAAACAAGAAGACACGGGAGTAAGGTCGCTTTGTTTTTATTGAGACCTCCCTCCGTGATAGTACAGGTAAACAACTACTGCAACGTAACATGTTGTGATACAGGCTAACATAAAATCCAAAATTCTGACTCAGAAATAGTTCAGTTAACAATTGTACTATAGGTTAAATATGCATTTATATCTTGATGGTTAAGTGTTGTCTTCAACTCCATGTTCGGATGTTTGACGGATTCCCTGTGTTCTACGGCATGGTTATATTAACAAGCACATCTACTCGAGATCGGCGCGTCTGCCGTGCCTGCACTTGTGGCGGATATGGTTAAGGAAGGGGCTCCTGCTGACTGGGATACGGGCTTCAAACTGCTCGTGCATGACCTGTTGTTCCAGCATCTGGTTCCTGGCGGCAAGGACACGGGCCTGGAGTCGACTGTAATAAAACAAGATGAGACAGTATGAATAACAGACAGCATAGAAATAAATCCGTTTAAAATGATGTTTAAAGTGACACTATATAGTAGATACAGAAAAGGTCACAGACATTGGCACTGTATATTCGTTATGACATACAATACTGACCGCAGAAAGAGGAGAAATACCAAATAGCTTTTTATCAAGCATCATGTCTTAATCAACCAAAGCTTACCGTAACATGTTGTGTAATCGTTGATTTTGTATTTAAATTCATATTTATATATAATTCATATATAAATATATACAGTAATGAATTTAATTGAAATGTAACTTACGCGTGCATGAGATCGGTGAGTAGTTCGTGGACGGCTTCCTCGGATACAGCGCCATGGCTTATTCCTTGTTGCACAGTCATAACGTGACGGACAACCTCTTTGTCATCACCATAAGCGTGCATGAGGGCATCCTCTGCACCTCGCAAGTAAGCAGGGAAGGCAGATGGTGGCCTGTAGGAGTTCTGGCCATCAACGTTGATTTCGAAGTTCATGTTCATGGGGGCTACAATAACAGATTAATATAATGATGATTTTAAAAAGCACATATTGAACTTTACATAATCAAGCTGGATATGAGATAACACATGCTTATCCTGGTTTGTAGTCATTTTCATCGATTTTCATTTATTGTTCAAAACCATTATCTCAATTACTAACTTTAAAATTCTGTTAACACGTGAGTATTTGCTTTCTTATTTATGTGCAAACTCATGACGGCCCGTTTAGTTTTGCATTAGTCAAGGTTATTCGATCTGACAACAAAATTCTGATAGTTTAATATCATTTCAAAACCAGTCAATATATTCTTACCTGGCATTCTCTGCATCACCATCGGTCTCTGCATCATCATTTGCCTCTGCATCATCATCTGTTGGGGAGCCATTTGCATCTGAGGCATTGGCTGTTGTTGTTCACCCATTCCCATTCCCATTCCACCGAAACTTGAGAGTCCCTTAACAAGCATGGGCAAGAATTCCATGGGGTTCTCCAGAATTCCGGAATTCTTCACCTTACTCATAAGAGCCTCCTTGATCTCATCGAAAGAAGCACCTATCAGAAACAGATGGATGGAATTATCAGTTAAAATTCTCCATTTAATTCAAGCCTAATGTGAAAATATCATGAAATTGTAATATAACCTAACTTACACCTTAAAAAAGAAAAAAAAATGTAGAAACTACAGTAAATTTTAACTTTATCTCACCTTCTTTGAAGTCGAACCCGTAGCTGTTGGCAGTAGAAACGAACTTATTCTTGAGCATTTCCATAGCCTTCTCTGGTGTTTCTGTACAATGAAATGATAATATTAAAATACGGAGATGGGTAATAGTGATCTGGTATTCGAAACCATCTAATGAAAATTCGAAAAGTTAACCAAACGAAAAGAAATGGAACAAAAAATTTTTGATCAATCTCCTGATCAACAAAGAGAGTTTGTATATTAGTCAACGTAGCCTTGGCTTACCCATATCTTCATCATTGACCTCAATTCCTAAATCGTCCATATATTCCCTCATCCTTTCCATAACCTTGGCCCTCATCTCTTCTTGGCTAGCGTTTTCTGCAAGACAGCGAATTATACGATATTTACTCAATGCATTGTATTGTATATCATATTAAAACTTATTCAAATTGAATGCTTTTGCTTTGAAAACAGATTTTTTATATAAAAAAAACGTTTTGTTTTCTTTATTTTATATGATCAAGGAATTACTGATATAAAACAGTTCGTTTGCCTTCATTACCTGGGATTTCAAAATGTTCCTTGAGAAATTTCTCAACCACGCCCTGGATGGATTCAGGGTCTTCTGTTAAAAAAGAATAATGTTTGTTAGTAAAACGACATCAATTTAATTGATTAATTTCGGATTTTTAAAAAATTGTTTATAATTCTAAATGTTTAAAGACTTTAAATTTTGTTAAACTAAAGGAATGCACGTGCACGATATAGCCAGAATAACTGCAGTTAGTCCATTGCTTACTTGTTTTTAATTCAAAGCTGATCAACTACAAATTTGGACAGTTCTTGCGCAATGTTGAATATTTTCATTACATTGTGTTTTACGATATACTTTTTTAAAAACAACGTTTAATCAGTGTTTTTATTACCGATTCATTCGTATCGTTATTTATTCTGAATGTATAAGTATTGTTCGAATCAACTTACCCACATCCATCTCAATGCCCTGACTCTTAAGTTCCTTTTGGAGGTTGCCAATCATTTTGGGGATGGCAGATTTGATATCTATAGTACAAATATAGATTAATGAATGCTGGCAAACGATTTCGATAAGATACAAAGAATATATTTCTACTTGCTGAAGAAAGCAAAATACTGCGTTTCAGAGAGCCAAATACATACACAGTTTCAATACTCGAAATCTAGTTTTAGTATGACATAAATTTTGTAAGGATTGTACGTTACTTTCCATGAACACGCTAAGGTTTACAAAACATGAATAAAATACCTTTAAAGTCCTCGGGATCAAGACCGAATTGAGCCATCTTCTCCCTGGCTTGGTCAGTCAGGGATTGGAAAATGCTGGCCATATCATCCTCTTTGGGAACCTCCATTCCCATACTTTGAAGTTCTTCCTTCAACACCTTCTGCACATTACCTGTTGATTGAGAAAAAGGGAGCAAACTCAATTATGGTATTCGTCTCTATTCATCTTAGTCATGTTCTTGACTGGGTAGTAAATATATATATATATATATCTATTGGGAGGTTTCTGACATATCTATATGTTCCTGTTTATCAGTAAAACAAACGTCCTTCTGAATATTATTTGAATGAACAACAAATATACAAATGCCATCGCAATCTATATATGACAATCTTATTGATACAATAGGAAAATTATTAACAGATAAGGGAATACAATTTTCTGTGGGCTGGCGAACTTTGAATGGAATAGGTTTTTCATTGACGAGACAACCGTTTGATATAAGACAAAACGTATTACATGAAAGAAAAAGAAAGAAATGTCAGTTAATTATGAGAGCTGATATACGTGAATCGGAGCGTCTTATGAATGATGCACTTTGACAACGTGTTCTTGACCGATCAAACACTTTGCTACATACCGTTCTGTACATCGCCGAGCATACCCTTGATTTCGTCCATGTGCTCTGGAAGGTGCTTGGCGGCATCGCTGATATCCTCCTTGCTGAGTCCTGCAAACGGATCCATTTTTATCAGTTGGTAAACAGACTTATTACGTTACTGGAATATGCTTCAGTTTAAATGAAGTTTATAGTTTGCTTCGATTTGATTAGATACAAGTGTTGGACTCGATATGTTTAAGATAAGATTTCACTTAATGCGCTCCTTTTGAATATTAACTATATTCACATGTAAGACAAAATATCGACACTTTCACAAGATTAATCGAAAATGTCGTTACATTCTAACAAAAGAATGAAATGACACCATTATTTTTTTCTAATTTCTATATCTTTAATAAAAAAAAAAAAGAAAGAAAACGTGCAATACAAGTGCCAGCAGTGATAGAATTATGTCGAGTTATATAGTGATTATGTCATACTTGACAACAGGTTAGCGTCATTTAGGAATAGCCCACTTTATCCCGCATTTTCCGTTTGATGCCCATAATTTAATCGATTTTTTAATTTGGATAAATCTTGCACTTTCAATGAAGCATCAAGTACATATGTATATTCTGAACTGTGTCACCGTTCAAATTTGATCACATTGAAAGTTTATGTTTTTTTCTAGGAAATACGTTATATAAGTAACAGAGACTTACCCATTCCCTCAACCATCTCCATCAACTGTGGGGGCATATGTTCGATGATTCCCTTCAGCTCATTGGGATCAACATCCTTAATGAGGGATGCTGGAAAATGATAGATGTGATTTGAATGTACCACAGAGAATATCATTGTGTCCAGACTACGTTATCATTGAGTATCAATTCATGAAATATTTTATACGCGTAAAGGATTAAAAATTAAATAATTTACGGAAAAGAAAATTCTTCACATCTGAAATTTACAAACCAGATTTACAATTTTTTTATTTGTATACTTACAAATATCGTCCATGTTAAGGTTTGCCATTAAGTCCTTAGCTTGTCCCATCAAGTTTCCTATGCCTCCCATGCCGCCGAGACCTCCAAGCATCCCCTGGATATTCTTCACTACAAACAAACAGGTATGTAACGTATAAGTTGTGCTTGTTATATGGAGCTATATTACAACATTACTGTACAATATATCATTGCCGTTGGAGTTATATTTTCCTAAAATCATTTTACATGTCAGTTAGATGATCAACTGTTCAAATTTAACAAGACTATAGTATTAGTGTGACTCGTGTGCACTGTTTTGAACGAAATGATATCCTCTTGAATAAGGATTTTTTAAAACTACGAAATTTAAACCCCATGAAAATTTATTATTTTACAACATCTTATGGTGTTTTACAATCACAGATTGTAAACATGCACACAGTAGGTTGTTATCAGTTGCGTAGATGTGTAACGGAAAGTTACCATGTTTTCGTTAACGTCGATAAACCTGTTTATTCTATTGGTTGATATGATAAATTGATTCATTATTTCTATATTTCCGAGGATGGAATAGAACTAAGTAGCAATTATGATAATTGGAAGGAAGTGAAATAGACATCAAAGTTTTTGCTAAACCATCACAAGACAATACTTAAAGCAATTTGTGGTAAAAAGTATCCATTCATAGGCAATGTGTTCGACACCACAAAAAAATAAATGTACACTTCACAAAGCAATGTGCAATGTATAACAAAAGGATAAATGTTGGCAAGGTGAAAAAAATAACAAATATAATCGAGTACATTAGGTTTCAATTAATAATCATATTGTTTCTGTTAAAGCTGCCTCGAAATCACGAAATAAAAAAAATGGATGCTGTTAAGCCTTTGCTGCAGATACAGCTAAAAAGAATAATTATTATTCCTAATTTGCAAAAAAAAGTATAAGGCAAGTATAAAAAAATCCTCCTTGGCTTTTTTTTTTTTAGCAAGAAAGCTTAATTGAATTGTCGTTTGTGGTTAACTAGCGATCCCGATTATGGTAATGTGTCACTGATAGAGGTGCGGAGTTACAGTTGATTGATCAGTAAAGGTGATGATCAATCACCGTGCTTCTGCCGACGAGATTTGACGGGTTCCAGGAAGTTGGTTAAACCCGGAAGTGTGCATAGGTACCAAATGCACAATTCAAAACATTCATGGTAGAAGTGCTTCTATGTAGATCATCTTTTATCAAGATATTCTGAACTTTACATTTTACGTGTATAACGAGTTTTGGTGTTAATGTAAAGACTGACTTCCATTTGCTAATTTTGATGTCATCTTCCAATAACCTCCATGTGTAAAGAGATTGTTCCTATTTGTTTCGTTGATTTTGATTGGCCAGTATGAGAGACTATCAATTCCTTAAGTGTAAAATGACGGACGAATGTTCTATTCGACCTTACTAATATTGTACGTATCGATCCGAAATTTTTTTTAAAAGAATCTTAATCAACCACTGCACTATGCTCTATAAATTAATGTTTAAAAAAATCCGATTTTTGCGATGTTGTTTCATAACATCCAAAAATTATTCTGGTAGATATATCCTTAATTTATACAGTTTCGAAAAAAATATATGAAAAATAATGTAAGTCATGCACGTATACCCAAATTAATCTTATAAACTCGTCTTCATCTACAAACCAGCAACTCAAAACGTATGCTCAGCAATGAATGCAAGGTTTTATCTAAAGCTACTACTTACTGTCGAAATCCATGCCCATGGCGCAGGCCACCAAAACGGTCAGTATAACAATTCTCATTTTGGATTTCTGAAGAAAAAAACATGTATATGTTTATATACACATTAAAACTTTCGATATCACAACTACGATAGTTCGATCTAAAACAAATAGATCATTTCATAAAAGTTCATAAACTCTGTTATCTTACGAATAGTATAAATATAAATACTTATTTCATCGCCAAAGTAAAACATGTGTTTTTTTTCTTGGAAACAAACTCTATATGCAAATTTATCATATATAGTAATTAAATGGATAATTACTTGGATGCAAATGAACACTCACTTAGTGTGGACTCCAGTAGTTGCTCCGTAAGTCTGACGGTTGAACCCAACCCTTCATGTTTTATAGTCAGTTGGTCACGTGACGTATGACCATCCATCACGACCGGGTACCACAGTCGGGTATACGTGTCGTTTGTTTAGACCTTTCCTTGGCTCAAGCGGAAGAAGATGGGTTTGGGCGCCCTCAGGCCGGCTCATGTGATGTTACACCATACCACATTGCAGTAAAGTAGCACACTATTACGATGAAGCGGAGTTCTGTTTATATTTGAGTTTCGTGTTGGAATGACGTAACATTATAAAAAAAGATATTAATCTAGAATATGCTGACAGAGATGTAGTAACATACTCATTATTTAATGTATTCGCATTGCGTTGCAATAACACAGTGTATATGCAGTTTGTGTCAATCATTGACTGGATATTACAATGTAAATGTTAATTTCATTACGAAAGCATTAAAATCGTCTACTTCATTTTTGTCTAAATTTTGAAAGATCGTAATTTAATGTTGAAGTTAATTAACGCCTATAAATAATAATTGATAGATAGTGTTCATAATGAATATCCCAATTACAAAGCTCGACTTGATCAAGATAAGGTATATTTCTTTATCCGTCTTTTACAAGCGTTTGTCGTATTATTGCAAGCAATCAGACTGATTCAACAGGATTTTTTTGTTTGTTGGTTTGTAATAACGAGAAAATTGTCTTGTTTACCGACAAGGTTTTTATATCAATTTTGTTTTCCAATATATTCGTTTATCTGCACAACAGTTTGAACAAGCACTCAACGACATTCATGACACTGTAAGAAATATCGCAACTGGGTCAATTCAAGTTGACCAAGTCGCCACAGGTGACAAGACAGGTGTTACTTTATGTCACCATCCATAAAAAAATTTAAAATTTTAAAAACAATGGAGCTCTTTATAACGTCATGTTAAGGTGACTTTTAAGTAAGGGTCATTAAGGTTTTAAAAAACATGTTTGTGTGAAACAATGAAAGGGACACACAGGGTGTTTGAAGTTTACAGGTCTCTGGAAATAAATTACAACCAATCAGGTAGAATAGATAACAAGAAAAAGTATTGGTACACACATCTGATCTGAAAACTACATTGTTTTGAACTTTATCCTGTAGACAATGAATTGTCTAATAGTATAATTAAGCAGTTACATTTTCACGATTGATCCTTAAGGAAAATACAAAACTTGTCTGTAACTTCAAGATACATAGCTCACAATCTTCTGACATCTTATGTTTTCTTGCTCTGTAGAAGTGTGTAATATCCTTATTGTACTGTGTCCAGTATTCCTTAATGATTTTTGTTTCTCAAGCACAGGGATCTTTTGAAAACTTATGTTTTCTTACTCTGTAGAAGTGTGAAATATCCTTATTGTACTGTGTCCAATATTCCTTGATTATTTTTTATGTTTCTTAAGCACACTGTTTCATATTGATACGGTTAAAAACTGAAAATAAACCATCTGACAGAAGAAATGTTCTCATCAAACCTGCTAACTACATAAAGATAACAGCTGATTGAAAGGTCCATCTACCTCATCTAAGTTATTTGCACATCTAGGTATTGTTATCAGAACAATACCATTACAAAACACAATATAACATGTACTTGGAAGATGCCATACATTTTCTATTGGAAATCTTACATTTTATTTAGAACGCATAAAACTATCATAATTTTATAGGCGATTTAAAAATGAAATACTGATTTTCATCAATATAAAAGAATGTAGGATTTTAATTAGCAAAAAGTATTCAATGCTTTGTTTTATGAACATTTGTGAACGTGTTGCTTAGCATGTGTGGAGTCTGAAACAGCGAAATTATGACGCCATGCTATTTTTATGGTTGTCCACAAGTACAATCACAGAAAAATTAAAGATCTACAGTCTCCATAATACAGATTATGTGGAGGCCATAAAACACTGACTGACATTAGACTTATTCACTATTTTTAAACTTCTTCAATTCTTTATATACCAATATTCATTCTTGAATGCGAATTTATTTGATAAGATATTTTTTATTGTAACAACATCCAAAAGAAATAAAATGACGTCACACATTGCAAATTGGTGAAATAAATATGTTAAGATGAATTCGCATTTCATCGTTAAAAAATATGAAAATAATTTCCATTTCATTTTCAAGCAACGCTCACTAGAAAATTGCTAAAAAGAACCATATTTGGGGAGTCATTTTATAAATCTCATTAAGATGGAAAAGTTATAAAAAAATATATAATATCTCGTACTTCAAAGCCTTACTAAAGAGTTCTTGCAGGACAAGACAGTTTTACGTCAGTTTTAACTATTGTCACGGTCACTATTTTCCTGATATAAAGGAGATTCTCAAGAGGAAAATTTAACTGTATTTTACACCCCACAGCTTCTGGGGAACTTCTCCTCCCAGATTCCCCACCGAGGTTTCGCCCTTGGACCATTTGCTACGCATTGGACGGGCTTATTTAATTGTCTTTTCCACAATTCTTAGAAGCAAACTTTGGTTAATTCCAAGTGGAAGATTGCAATAGGACAACGTATTCTTACTTAGAATTTTTCGTGAGATTGTTTCAGAATTTTGAGCTTAGAATGTTTTCACCACAAGCTCAAACCGTTATTGAAGAGTATTTATATTGGCAAGCGTGGAAATGTGCCACATATCAGGAGAAATGCCCATCACGTACAAGAGTTACTATACAAACGAATGGTAGCCATAATTCAATTCAGAACATATCGTTGTAGATGACAAAACATTAGAACAATCGAGGTTTGAGCGGCACCAGTAGTTTTAATTTATTTGTATATCATTATATAAAAACGGTTGGTTTCGATATTAATCATTTTGTTGTTGTGAATCCGGTTAAGTAACCTATTTAATATGAAACATTAACTGTCAGCTGATATGGCTTCTAGCACTTGACGTTAACAAACCATGAATTAAGCGTGCTGAGAACTGTACTGTAATTATAAGTTATGAGTGGTTACACAGTGCCGAAGATTCGAGTCCTGGAGGTAGAACGAATGGTCGTCACCCGGAAGTATGCTTCATTTCACAGAGAATGTCACGAAACCCGTCACACTTCACCGATTATAGCCGGTGGTATTTAATAACCATAAATACACGAGAATCCATCGGAAAATGTTAAACGTTTCTACCATAGGGCCAAGTACAACACAAGGTGGCTAGAGATGTCACAGAGACTCCTAGAGTAAGCGTATAAAGTCATTTTTGAATGAAAGGGATATTTTTTTTATAAATTGTTGGGGTACTGATGCCATTTGGTTCTCTAATAACAGTAATTACTACTGAACGTTTATTTTGATTGTTATTTTCTTCAGCCGTTTGTTACATCTGTTCATCAAATATCAAAACCTATAGTAAGCGTAGTAAGGCCCAACTACCATCTCGGATATACGAACCGACCAACTATCTCACTACTTACTTATATCTCATACACCCGTACTTAAAAATATTCGTTATGATATTTTTCGTTTGTTATGAGGATATAAACATTCATTGGCCAATAATTTAACTTATGTATTTCAGTAGATACTATGCATGGTTGCCCTCATATGAATATTAGTGAATTATAATAAATTGTTGTCGAAATATTTATATGTTATTTGGAATACATGCCTTTTGGTTTTAACGTGTCGCAGTTGATTCAATATCCAAAAAATTCTTCCCGTTATTACGACTTTTGTGCAATATGTCGAAAAGCTGACAGGTAAATGCGTAATACAGAAGTTCGAGAAATATGTGTTGATGGATATAATGAAGTTTTACAGTTGATATCACGATCTCTGGAAAATATTTATCTAATTGTCTTGTGCGATATTAAGTTAGAATTGCTCGGTGCTCGTAGTATGCCTCGTGTTGTTGACCTTGCTCTCATTCGAGAACATCAAATCGATAACTCGGATAGACCAAGATTCATGTCAGGTGCCGTCGAGATAGCAGAAGATGAATCACTTTCCAGAACACAGTTTTAATTTTCTAACACTCTTTCTTGTGTCTCCGTTAAAAATCATTCTTTCGGGTTTGTTTTTCATAGTTTCATTGATTCATGTCAGTGTTCATTGAAATTTTTAAATCAGTCGTGTCCTTTAGTAATTTTCCTGGTTGAGATTGCGTCAGTGGATGTTAAATACGTTCTAGTGTGGCTGTAGGTTTAAAGATCACTGTAAGGCGACGGCAACAATACAATTTTCATCTTAATTTGTGCGTGTAAATTATTTCTAGACAGAGTAATCGCATAAACGCATTTGTATCAATAAAAGTGTTCAGTGGAAAGTGTTCAATGGCCTATGTTCAGTATATCTAGATATCTCGTTAAACAGTTCCTCATTCAAGGAACGAACACCATAGACAAATTCAAGACAAACACATATATGAACAAATCAGAATGCATTGAACAGTACACAAGAACTTATAAGTTTCATATAAACCGCCTTTCCTATCAATTTTCGACCCCACCTTAAACATAGATATGCCTTTAAATGATTTTTAAAAAAAATGAAAATTCTAATTCGACCGACATTGAACAACTTCGTATGTTATAAGGCCAAAGAGAACAGGTTAAACCACCCTCCTCCTGCCTTATCTCTAATAACGATTTATTTGAATAACCAAGGTAAAATCCCCCCCTGCCTTTTATCTAACAACGCTTTATTTAAATGATTAAGGTAAACCCCCTTCCTTATATCTTATATCGATTTATTTAGATGATTAATGTAAAACCCCCTCCCCCTGTCTTTTATCTAATAACACTTTATTTAAATGATTAAGGTAAACCCCCCTCCCCCTGCGTTATATCTTATATCGATTTATTTAGATACTTAAGGTACCCCCCCCCCCACCTCCCCCTGCCTTTTATCTAATAACGCTTTATTTAAATGATAAAGGTAAACCCCCCCCTGCCTTTTATCTAATAACGATTTATTTAAATAATTAAGGTTAAACCCCCTCCCCCTGCCTTGTATCTAATAACGATTTATTTAGATGATTAATGTAAACCCCCTCCCCCTGTCTTATATCTAATAACGATTTATTTAAATAATTAAGGTTAAACCCCCTCCCCCTGCCTTGTATCTAATAACGATTTATTTAGATGATTAATGTAAACCCCCTCCCCCTGTCTTATATCTAATCATGATTTATCTAAATAATTAAGGTAAAAAAAAAACCAAAAACCTCCCCCTGCATTATAGCTAATAAGGATTTATGTGAATAATTAAGGTAAAAACCCCTCCCCCTGCCTTATATCTAATAACACTTTATTTAAATGATTAAGGTAAACCCCCCTCCCCCCTGCCTTATATCTTATAACGATTTATTTAGATAATTAAGGTACCCCCCCACCTCCCCCTGCCTTTTATCTAATAACGCTTTATTTAAATGATAAAGGTAAACCCCCCTCCCCCTGTCTTATATCTAATCATGATTCATATAAATAATTAAGGTAAAAATAAACCTCCCCCTGCATTATATCTAATAACAATTTATTTGAATAATTCAGGTAAAAAAACCCTCCCACTTCCTTATATCTAATAACGCTTTATTTAAATGATTAAGGTAAACCCCCTCCCCCTGTCTTATATCTAATAACAATTTATTTGAATTATTAAGGTTAAAAACCCCTCCCCCTGCATTATATCTAATAACGCTTTATTTAAATGATTAAGGTAAACCCCCTCCCCCTGTCTTATATCTAATAACGATTTATTTGAATAATTAAGGTAAAAAAAAACCTCCCCCTGCCTTATATCTAATAATGATTTATTTAGATAATTAAGGTAAAACCCACTCCCTGTCTTGTATCTAATAATGCTTTATATGAATAATTAAGGTAAAAAAAGCCCTCCCCTGCCTTATATCTAATAACGATTTATCTAGATAATTAAGATATCTGCTATTACGTAAAAGTGTGAATTAATGGACTTTCTCTGTAGCTTTACTTCTATTAAACAACATTGAACTTCAATTTCATTACAAGAACTAATTTTTTTTGTCTTTTGGAATTACTTCATATAACGCTATTCCTACACAGATTTTAAACACAGCATTGTGAATGACCTGGATCTAATTTAAGTTGGGAATTCTGTGTTGGTAACATTTTTATCAAGGTTTTATTCATATATTGGTTGTCATATATATTGGGGGTACATGTTAAATCTTTGAACCTCAACCATTTGGAATTTATTCATTGTTTTTAATTTTTTTTTTTGGTAAACTAGTGTATTGATGAAATTTTTTTTTCTACCAAAAGATTTGTCTTGATTAGTCATTCAAAAATCCTTCAGCTATTAAATTTAGCATGTCATATCAATTAATGAAGCCAAGGTCACCACTGACAAAGTGAATTTATTGTGTTTCAGTAATATCAAATGACAACAATATATATACATATATATATATATATCAGAATAGGTCATACATGCATTGACTGAGTAAAACCTCAGACATGGAGAATTTCCAGTGATCAATTCCTCCAGTTAAAATCACAAGTAAGCTTTCTTTACCGTCAATAATTTAGAATAGGTAAAAAAATGAGACAAGGAGCACCGATAATACCAAATTAATATGTTTGGAAAAATCTTTGTGGTAGTTTTTGAAAGTAGGTATGTGTATCTTTATCTTGTACACTGAATGTAAAGGGGAGTAAAATCACATTTATGCCAGTCCATTGTGTACAACATAGCATACAAACAATAACAAAACATTCAGGCATGTTAATACATTTAGCACTGTCATTTGTAACAGATATAACATCAACACAACCAACTTCAATATATCCACTTGCAGCGAAAATCAGACACACATTTTCAATATTATACAAGCTTCTTGTTGGCCATTTAACATGGAAATTTGTGGTGGGTTATTTTGATCAACACCACATCTCTACCATTATGATGAGCAAAAGAGATTTTTCCACATTCTTTGGGAAGACAAATTCTTTACAACTGTGTGGTTTGATAAATTTCACTCAACCCTTAACAGACTAGCAGTGTAAGCGGCAAACAGGTGAGTATGAATCAGTTTTGAATAAAGGCAGTCTTGACATATGAAAAAACTAAACTCAGCTTTGTTCTCACTTGCCGTGTAGAAGATAAATCTTAGTGTAGAAGATAAATCTTAGTGTAGAAGATAAATCTTAGTATTATGATTGAAGACTTTCATCTTGAATGCATTTAATATAACAAAACGTTTTACTTTGGGAATCATTAACACAAACAGCAAAACTGAATTTTCATGTTTTGGTAATACAAGCTTAAAAACCAGAAAGTTATACCCCAACAAATCAGGAAGTCGTCTTGACAGAAAAGAAACGACTTGTTCAAAGGAATAAAGAAAACGGGTATAAAGAATTATAATTACAACAGTAGATGTGTATGTGTTATTTTGATTGTATGACTATTTAAAAGTACCTGTTTTTTTAATATGTCTACTTCTTCCCACAGAAACCCTGATGGTAATGCCTGTCTACATATTCAGATGTTATGTGTAATTATCTGGGTAACCTTTGTACAAGTAAAAAAGTCCTTCACATTATGCACACTTGTTTTACACTATAATCACATGTCACAGTTTGAAAGTAATGACAAGAATATGTTACTGTTTTGAATGTCTTGAAGAGTGAAAACTGAAACATACTTTTCTTATAGAAATTGATCAAGTTGGCATATTTAAAGAGGGTACATGTCAAAATATTCTCATATCTAATGGAGTTTTAAAATTACTATGTATGTGTATCACAACACTGCTGTTTCATCAATAAACATACTGACACAGTATTACTTGTGCACATAGTAATCCCTGAGGACATTCACATCATCCTGTTCTGTCCCAGTGATACCTGTGTATAGTTTGTATACCTGGGGTTGACAAATATATACCTTGTGAACCTGCCTGCAGGCTTGTCAACAGGAACCACAAGTACACATTCTTATGGAGCGGGACAGGAACGTACACAAACCAAACACTGTAATACTTCTTTCCCTAACAAAACTCAATCACTATCCTTTTTTATCCATCACTTTACCTATTTGCTAGCCAATAATTGAACAAAAGACAAGTTAATTTATCAGCAGATATGACACATTTCCTCGATTTTTTCACAGATCAGTCCGTAATTTTTTAATCAAAAGACCTATATACCCTAATAAAGTAAATGGTTACCAGTAATACTTTAGTATTGTCAAATTACTAGTGGAGAGTGAAATTAGTAAAAACAGTGACCTACATAAACAAACTAAGTAATTAATAATAAACAAAATATCACTCAAATAAAAGTAAACAATAAATACTATTTCTAATAATCAATAAATCAATTAAAAGGAAAATGATTGCACTTAATAACTGGTAAAAACATATATACATAAGCACAAAAGTAAGTATATAATGACATTGCAAATAATATACTTCCAGCATAGAAATCAATAACAAACAGATAATGTTGGAAAACACATTGGCTAATCACATTCAATAGATTAAGTAAATGATAATGTTAAGATAAAACTATTTTTTTTTGTAAAATTTAATTTTTCATTTTACTGGGTATACTAACTTTTGCACTTATGTATATAAGTTGTGTATAAATATCAAATAATTAAGATAACAGATCTACCAAAACGAAAAAGTAAATTTTCACTTTGCAATACGATCATTTATTTTTTCTAAAAAGGTATAAAATTCATAAACTATCTGAAGAGGATCATTATTTAAATGAAAACTATTAACCATGAGTTAATAATACTGTTTGTACAACAGTGATAGTAATTACTTCTAAATAATTAGTGCCTTTTTTAAAACTTAAGTTATCTTAGTTTTCTGTGAAAATATGTTAACACACCTTAACATACTTGTTAAAAAGAATGGAAAATTTGTTAATTACCCTAAGTATATTTACATTACTATATCACCTAAATGTAAATATATTGTGTTTACATATTCATAAATTCATGTTTAAACATTAATAAATAAAAATTCAACTTTTAAAACATACAGGTAAGTAAACTTTAGTCTAGTTCTGTATACAGATTTTCAATCATGCTAATTTTGTTTTTTTTTATAACGTATTTAGAAAAAAATAATCTTCATATAACTGGATGTTTTGCTATATAACTCACAATGCTGGAGTTATTTAAATGTTTGTGCAGCCAATCAATAGTTAAAACATGATATTACTGTCAGATATAGGATACTATATATAGAATGTGTGTTTTTTACACTAAGATTTATCAGTGTATCAACAAAGAAATACTTGAAATAACAATTACATTTTAAATGATTTTTGTCATCACTTGATATATATATATCTCACAAATTTGTTCCTGTATGTCGTCAGAGGGAGAACACAGAATTCATCATTCAACAAATAAACAGATTTAGTGTCATGTAGAGGTTCTTACAACAATTTCAATTTCATATTGATTTATAAAACAATGTTCAGAGTCTAAGTATGGTTTTCCACCAAGCCCCTTGCCAGGTTAAATGAAGCTTATAATGAGTTTAAAGAATCAAAATGGCTAAGAATGTAAGATACTGTTTATCGCATGACATCCACTTAAACTGCATTTCATAACATTGATAATAAATCGGTCTTGATGATAATTGCGCTCCATGTCTCTTTTTTAATGACATCACAATGTATATGGTGTCATGACATCATGGAGGCACAACTTAACCTATCAGACCCTATATCCAATCACAGCTTTGATATGTTATATTACAGGTATTGTCAGAAAAAAATACGGAATGGGTGTTATAACACTCACAACAGGGTAACTACACGAGAGATATGTTTCAGTTAAAATTTCCTTTTACATACAATTAATTAAAATGTTCTTTCAGATAATGTAACACACTATCATAATATTGACGACATCATGTTTTAAAGATATCAGTTAAATTTTCCTATTTAGACTAGGTTTGAATTTTTAAAAAATCAATATGTCTTTGTATAACGTTATCACAATGCCATACCATTTCTATGAATGAAAAATGAAAAAGAAAAACAACAATCACATGCTATGGATAAAAAGTCATGAGTACAAAAAACATTTAGCACTCAAATTTTCAGGGTCATAATAAAAAGTCACATTTGGCAAATAACTTATCTAACTTACAGGGAAAAAAAACCAAGGCAAAGTTGATTCATCCCTCAACAATGAAATTTAACCTTGACTCTCTTAAGAATTTTATATTTTAGATTGGACTCAAATATCACACAATCTTTTGTATCTATATCTAGCATTTTCGCCATTGTCAGAAACTTTTAAGAGTCAATAGCCTCACGTCATGTATGAAAATGAGCAAAATTTTATTTATTTGGGGTCCTTTGTCAATTTAAGGAGTCAAAATGACAAGTTTTGCGGGTCAGAAATAACCATGTTATCAAATTTAATCAAGTGATTTCATCGTCTCTTTTCTTCTTGCTAAACATCAATTTTCAACAGAATAGGATAAATACATTTATCATGATTATCCATAAGAGTATAGATATAACATAAAAAAATATATATTTTTTACAAACGATTTTGAATGTTGATTTAAATACATGCACTTTTGGTTCGAATCCTTCCTCTAGTATTCAAACAAAATTAACAGAGGCATCGGAGGTAGTACATCAATATGATTATAAATATTCTAAAGCTTTGGCATTTGTATGTGCTTAACAAAACACCAATCCCAGAAAAACCTGATATAGACAGAATGCATTATACTACATCAAAAAAATTACTGACAAGATTTCTACGCAATTCGTGAAATGTGAATCGTGTTACCAAAACAAATTTTGATTTTTCTACAAATGAAGCACATCGAAAGAAGCAAAAATGATAGGCATTCTATTGAGTAATACTGGCCGATGAAAATGTTCACCATAACATCCTCGTACATGTACAAGCAATCATGGATGCAGGTATTTGTAGTCAACTGCTTCTGAAACCCAATTGTTTAATATTCAATTTGTACCAAGACGTTTTCAAAGATTAAAAGGCATTTTCTTCACACTGTTAGTGTAAGTGTGAAAACGTATATACCAAAAGTGTCCAGCACACAGAAGTAACAACAATAAATGTTGGAATAACGAAGATGTCCCTCCCCACATCCCTAGCAACTTTTACCTCAACATTTCCAATAAGCCTACACAAAAATCTAATGATTTCATTCTATAAGCAGCTGACATTAAGGTATCTTTCAGCAAAAATTAAGCTTATCACTAAATGGCTGCATATTATCCTAATCTGACAACCCTCCTTTCAGTAAGAAATACAATGTAAGTGGTATATTGGATCACCGTTCAGGAAATCACTCAAATACATGTAAACACAGGAAAAATTCTTGCATGCTTACAAACCAACATCAACGACACATATCTCTAGAATATGGTTTATCCAACAATAAATGCTCTTATGATACTTAAGAAAATTCCTATAGACTGTCCGGTTACAACAATAGATCATTTCAGTCATGGCTCAAAATTAGAATCAAAAAGTTATTTTGTTCTATAGTAGATGTCCACAGAAGGAACTATTCAGGTGAAAGCTTTCTCCAGTTTGGTGGACTGCTGATAGAATTGCGGTACAGAGTGGGATACGAAATGTTGATGATTCCCCTCCATCTTTTGCTGGTCAAGCAAAATAGTTTAATGTTGGAGCTATCTGAGCACATTTCTTCAGTTCACTTAACAGCCATTTTCTCTATAAAAACAAAATTAATAATGTTTATTGCTGTAAAACAATATCCAGTTCTAACATCACAATCTAGAACTTATTAACAACTATATTTATCAGTGGCTTGGTCGGACATCTTTGTTTATGACATAAGACATCACTGACTTAGAAACCACTAGGAGTAAGCCTGGCATTATTTTACAGAAGATCTTACCTCCAGGTTTATGGAGATTTAAGTGACATCATCTATATATTTTCATTAATCTAACACCTGTGAGATTGAATATGAAATAACACCATAAATCCTAGTAGTTGAGTACATGTAAAAAATGATTGAGAAAAATGAATAAACAAATAAAAGATTGTAATGATAAATAGAACAAGACACGAAATAAGAGCGAGAAATATTCTGAGTGATGATGAACATCAACTCTGGAGTCACCTATAGAGGCTGTGTTGTCAGTTACCTAATTCCCCTCTATTGCCAAACAAGTTAAATGGTTTACCTGTCTCTCTTTGTTCTTATGGACACAATAAGCAAGAATGTAACATGTATTTTATAACAAGAGATCCTAGAATGATTTTGGCACCCGCCATTTTGTTCGTTTAAAGGTTGGGTACTTCTTTCTCTCTTCTTTTCTGTTTTTATTAAAATTACATGAGATCTGAAAATTCCTCCAAAGAAGTAGTGATAATAATCTGTAATTGTTGGCTATTTTGTCTTGTTTAATCAATCCTAAAATCAAAAGGGTATCACAAAGGAAACCTACATGTGAAAATTGGGAAAGATTTGTCCAGCATTTCTCAAGAAATAGTGATAACAAAACTCCAATATCAAAATCCAAGATTTCCAACAGTCAGCCATTTTGTTTTTTATCAGTCCCAAAATCAAACAATATATAACTAGGGATCTGATGACAGACCACTGACACAGGGCGATTTGAGTAGATAGTGGGATAAAATTTACTTCCGTAACAGTTCACATCCATAATTTATAATTAAGGTTATCTCAGGTCATATTTTCTTTGAAGTTTACAAAAACATTAGATAGATTCCTTACCTACAATATTAAGTTTACAAAGAGGACAGGTACGATTTTTGACAAGCCATGGATCAACACATTTTGTGTGGAACTCATGATCACAAGGAAGAACTCGTAATTTCTGGAAAACAAGAAGAAAAATATACTGAAACATTTCTTAAAAGCTTTCAACAATGATTCTTTGATATATCATTTCATTTCTCCAGCAATAATTTGTAATGACGTATTTAATAATGTGCTATTCTAAACACTTAACAAACATTTATCTGTCATTTAAATAACTTCAGGCGTGGTATTGAATAAAGAACCAAAATTTCAAAACAGTCACTATAACTTTTCATTTTTTTAATTTTATATGTAGTAATCATAACAGTGTTAAATTTCAAGAAAGCATATTTATTTAATCTATCATTAATTGTTATGTACATAATTTTGTCTCTTTTTAAGAAATTCTTAATCAGATCACCTCTAATATCCTCTCCCACAAAAAAATATTTGCATGATGACATTATTTTATATATATATATATATATCAATGCATGGAATTAGGCACAGAGGCCTAATAATGCCTATCTCATTCATAAAACTTATTCCCTATTCCCAAACCCCTGAATAAAAAAAATACCTGTAACATATTTTTCCCCCTCAGGGTATGGTGCAGATTTACCTGTTTTGGTGTAAAATAATCCAGGCAAATGGCACATATTTCCTGGTCCTGACTTGGAGGCCACTTCCTGGTCATCATCCTGGAGAGAGCTTTGTGGGCTAGCTTCCTTAATGCAATCTGTGTATATTGTACATATATTTACATATATGTATACTACAAAGCAATATGTTTTTAAGTTGTTTTACAAATCAGTTTATTTTTTTAAGATAAAGGTTCAATTTCATTACTGTATCTGTAAACATCACAAAATCCCAAAATAAGAATAAAATCGAAAAATGTTATTAAACACTTTATATTTCAGAGCCAATCATCATCAAATTAGGATGATGTAAGAAATCAATTTCAGTACTGATTATCAAGAATCTCCTGGATGAAATAAGTTTTAAAATTAAAACACATCAATGATAAAAATGGATCAAAATGTGATGAGGTATAGGAACAGGTAAAGGAACATTGATACTACCAAAAAAGTGGCAAAAGTTTGATAAATATTGTGCAAACACCACCATCCTGTTAATTTTTAGACTAATAAGAGAAATTACCAAAATGTGATCAAATATGAATCTGTAATATTGTGAAGAGCAGAGTGATCAAAGTGTAACAAAAATTTGATTTAATTTTAAAAAAATAAATAACTGACAAATATTAACACAATATGGTAAATTAATAAATATGAAATCTATGTAAAATAGAATATACTTTTGGTCATTCAAAAAACGAATAATTTCATGCCGGTAAAACATATTTTACCAAAACAGAATTAAATCTGTCTCTGATCTTTATAGTATTTCTGTATTAAACTCAATATGGAAATAAAATCCAACCACACATACAAAAATTTTTCTATGACTACGAACCTCCATGTCATCAGTCCCATTGAGGTGTCTGTCTCTCATGCGTGCCTTCATTACAAGTAAAAGAAGAAGTAGAAAGGCTGCAGAATAAAAAAAGTTCCAGAACTGCGCTGGGTCTGCCTGATAAGTAAAAAAAACCATAATGTACAATTAAATCCCACACAATTATACTGTTTCACAAAAAATGCTGGAAGATTTTATTTATTTTGTCAATGTGCATGTACATAAAATTGTCTTGATCAAACGATGCATGAAGAAATCTTTTACAAAAAATAAATAATTCATAGCTTTTAATTAAAGAATTTACCTATCACCTGTTCCTTTATGTTTTATGTTTTTTTTTTTTATTTGTTTGTTTGTTTGTATCGAAATATTGCCTTACAAAACACTCCAGTTCAGATCTGGATTGAACACCGCAATTTTATTTCTATTTCTATTTCCAGGGACATATAATACATATTATACGTCCCTGCTATTTCCATACAATTTCAGCTTTTAAATTTTTTTTTTTTTTTGAACTTTTTCTGAAATTTGTGTAATCTCTTTGAAACTACAAGAATACCTTTTTACTTAAAAAAATACAGGAATCAACCTTATCTTATCGATTAAATACTGATACATTTGTATATTGAAACTGACAACAAACCTTTCCTTGATCTCCAGTTTCAATTTTTGTGCCAAGGCAGATAACTCCATCCCACTCATGAAAGCTGCGTCCATTTGGGCGTCCACAAGTTGCCCACAGAGTCAGAGTGGGAAATTTCTACATTAAATCAACAAATATTTTGTAATCTTTATCCTTCTTAAACCTTCCTTGGTTGAAGCAGACACAGGGGTCTGTGAAGTTTAATTGTGAACCTGGTACATATTATTTCTATCCTTTGTTAAGCATGTGTTGAAGATGTTGCAAAGGAAAGGATTTCTTGAACATACAAATTTGCTTGAAAGAAATTATGTTATTATTTTGATATAAATACATATACCTCGGAAAAAAACACACAGAAAACCTAAATCATACCATTATTATATTTTTGGGAGAAAAAATGTTTATAACAAAATTTAACATGCTTACTGATAACAGTGACAATTACTTGCTCTTTCATTATGACTTTTCCAGCATAAATAGACAATAAAAATCCTTGAAATGAAATGTGACTTCACGATTCACCATTTACTCTATGGAAACCTGACATGAGATGATGACAATACAAAGTACTTTACCTGCCAGTAAGCTAGCACTGAGCTAAAGGTCACCTTGGCCCGGGTCTTCACCTTGCTGTAGTATCAGACAAGGAAAATATCACTTTATACCTAATCATGGTACATCAACAAAACTCAACTAAGACAGATCTTAAGTCTGACACAGAAATAATCAGAGAATGAAATAATACTGTTTATAGATTCATTGCTTTATGAAATCATTATTCTTCTATTTATTTAATCCAAGTAATTCATAGGCGAGAATTGAATACTAAAATGTACTAAATTTGAGTGTACTGGAGTAAACATCATAGTGCTATGGAGAATTAAAACTGTAGAGAAGTGCACGTAAGTACTCACCTCCTTAATACTGCCACAAAGTTTGTGATATTTTCCAGAGATTCTACTACCACGACTGGGTAGGCTAGTAGCTGCTTCACCTCCAGCTGAAAGTACAAAACAGGATATACAGATATACAGCAGATCACAAAAAAATGTGTAGATCAAACTTATTGCTGTTTACTGGTTCTAACAGGATATATAACCCTGGTGTCTGAGTTACTGGTCTCCTACGCACATACAAAATTAAAAAGTACCAAAGAATAACAATTTTCTAACAGAAAGCAGTACTGCAGAGTACTTTGCCATAGTGACATATAAACCAGTCAGGATTTTTTTGATACAGGGTTTTAGTTTTAATGAAAGTTTTTGTTATGTGTCTTTTTCTTACTTTCTTTTCCCTGTACCACATGTTGTTTCTATAAGAAGGGGACTAAGATAGGCAATGCATGATGTCCAATGCTATTGAACTTTGTTTTTTTCAATGAAATCAGTTGAAATTGAAATCGAAGAAAGATTTACTGCATATGTCAAATTTCATGAAGCATGAAATCCCACAGACAGTACATGTTAATTTCTTACTAAATGTAAAACATTCTAAATAAAATGTCTATATATAGATACTGTAGTGGTAACCATTCTTTTTTGCCTGGAACGTTTATAAATGATTATTAAGAATGGAACTTAAAAATGATTTTGTCACGTTTGTTAGATGCTTAGATTTTTATTTATTGGTCCCCCACCAGAAATCAGGGGGACTAACATATTGTGTTGTGTCCATCTGTCTGTCCTTCTGCTATCTTGCCCAGGCTCTGTCTCCTACACGTCTTGTCATTGGAACTTTATACATGGTTTACGGGTCCAAATTGGTGAGACAGTGTGCTTTGTATCAAAAATAGATCACTCTCACATAAATTTTGACTTTTGACTTATATCGAAGAAAAAGTTATGTATTTTATCTCCTTCACTACTTGTAACTGTAGCATCATACTTGGGGTATGGGTTCACCCTTGGTGAGTTGGTGTGCTGGTGAGGACTAATTTGCTTTACTGTCTTGTTACTGTCATATTATACAACCTGATAACTGTATGGCCTAATATATTTCAGGAGTGTAGATAACCATAATCAATGTCATATATCACTAAAGCAGCCATGCCTGGTAATGACATCAATTATAATATACGGTACTATCATTAAAATAAGATGTTTGTAATTTTTGAAATTTTTCTAAAAATTAACTCTCTATCTATAGTAACAGTGACCTAAATTGTTAATTAAATTGAAAAACAATCCAGAAATAACAACCACGTTCATTTCAGAAAGCAGTGTGTAAGTTTGTTCGGTGCATGGGAACTCTAATTGCTGTCGACAGGAACACAGTCTCTATTTATTTCACATTAAAAAATCAAACAATTAAACACACACTGGTAGGAGAGTGATGGGTGATGTTTGACTTATTCTGGCTAACAGACCTTGAATTATTAGTCAGAAACCATTTTTTCTATTTATAACATTGACCGTGATATTGACCTTTTGACCCAAAGTTCAATCTGAAGTAAACACTCAATAAGAAACCAGCATGTGAGTTCCACTTGAACTTGTATTATTGGCTGATAGTGGTGATACAGCTTTACATCAATTTATAGTGTATCATTACCTGTCTTATCTATGATCCTGGCATAACAATCCAATTTATCTCCTAATTTTCATGTCAGTCCATCATTTTGGCTTATTGTGGAATATACCAAGCTAAATACAGTTTATTAATTGATGAATTGTAGTTAATTCAATACTTACCTCCTTGATGATTTTGGGGTTCAAAGTCAGTATGATAATTGCTGAAGCTCCAAACATCAACGCCTTCTGCATCTAGAGATAGAACAACAATGTGTTATGTATATAGCATATCAATAAACGTTTTACTTCATAAAACCGGCAATTTAACAATTAAATAAAGACATTAAAAATCTGCAATATCATTCACAATATGTGTACTTACATCTGACCACAGGGGCAGGATACAATAAGAACATGTATGAAATAAATCAGTGTCATTGAATAATTATAAAGGCTTTGACCTAATTTACATACTTAATTTAACATATCCCTGTGACAGAATCAGTAAACTGCATCCATATGTAAACATTTTCAGATATGCACAATATATGTGTTAATACCCAAGTATCTTTTAGCAAATTAGGTTATAGAAATTATGTAACAGTACAGTACAGGCAAGTTGGAGTTACAACAAAGTAAGTAACAAGAGCCTTATAGAGGGTGAGATGTCTTGCAGTGCTCACTTGGCTTTTAATGTTTACCTAAATACATTAAATTTCCGCACCAGTGATACATTCAAAGCCCTGTTTATGTAAGAAATGTTCCATGTATACTACCTATTTATGTATTAATAGTATGTTTGATATACTATATTTAATGTACAGTTAACGAGCAGATTAATCGTGTGTATTCATCCGTGGTATTACACCCTTCACTAATATTTTCTGATGATAATTACATGAACGTCTATGTTATCCAGGTTAGGTTCACATATAGAAGACCAGGGGTCACAGGCCTGGTTTTTTTTCTTCATTATACTGTACTTGGAAGTGGTTGACAAGGTAATTTATCTCATTTTGAAATCTGGACCTCACTACAATTGCTGATACGAAATTGACAGAGTAATAGGGAACCTCGGATGAGCGTATTGCAAGGGTATTGGTGCAGGGCTGAGTATGCCGAGAAAAGTCAGGAACACCAGGCAAGAGACGCTGGTGTAGTTGCTGACTACCTAGTGCTGTATTTCCATATCTGTGAGGCAGCTGCAGCCGTACGTACCAGATGTGCAGGAGCAAATAATTAATACATGTGTAAATAAATTTCATTCTTCGTTTTTCTGTTGCTTTTGTATTATTTATATCTATGGGATAAAAAACGGAGAAAAATGTTACAGTTAATGAAAAGCAGTTCAATGGAGGTTTTAACAAATTTGACACCTTTAATCTAGAATATGGCTCTGAACCTCATTTCTTTTCATAAACTTTAATGGGCTTCATTCCGAAAACCTGTCAGCAAAATACAATGGTTCTGGACCTTTTTGTTGAATTAGAAGAATTAGTTATATGAGGGTTTCAACAAAGCTACCCCTGTGTGACCTTTCATATGGCTAAAGGTCCTTTTTTCACAAAGTTTGTTGCATTCAATCCAAAGAAGCTATTTATCAACTATCATGATTTGCTTAATCAGAAGAAACTGCTTTAAACACCTATAAACTTGAACATGGTTCAAGATTATTTTTTTCCCTATGTTGGGCTGTATCCCAGGCATCAACCAGCTAGACACTATGATTCTAGGCCATTTGGCTTATCAGATATTGCATTAAAATGGAAAATGTTGACACTAGACTGACAACAGATATACCACAACATAAGCAGATTTGACCCAGTGTTGGCCATTTGGTCTAATTAATATAAACAAAAGAACCATTTGATCTAAACATTGACAAAAATATTTCTGAACAAATGAGGGTCTATATATACCCTGGTATAACCATATACCCTATCTATATACCCTGGTATAACCATATACCCTATCTCTTTCATTCTGACCTATATGATATAAAGATAATATGTTTAAATGTCTCTTATTTGTGAGATGAGAACAATTGTAACTGAAAGTGGTACCCTGTCTATAACGGAGGGACAACCCCTTGTTGCATTATCAGAGGTTGCACTTCTTTCAGAGTAGTGGAAAACTGCTATCCAATCTCCGGGAAGACGAGCATACTCTTTCTCATCTTCTTCTCCACAATCAGATGAGAGCTAAAAGTAAATACGTAAATAGATAATAATAATGATGATGATGATAAATATTATGCAATATACATAGGGTAAACTGATAATGATTCATCAGATATGACCTAGAGTTGGACGATTAATATGATGTTTTATGTGCTTTATTCACACTTCCCAATTATGTCCTGTATGTGTTAATAAATGGACACCTTCAGAACCTAGAAGCAAATTATTTCTTTAGCCACATCAGTTTTTCTGATTTTTTTAGGTGAAAGATATGAATATTATTAGTCCCATGAGTAGGAGAATTTTAACGGATCAATTTGTTTTTTCTTGAACTGAGATGTAATGGCGTAGCTATTATTTGGCAATAATACTAATGTCGTGTCATTAAAAGAAAAATAAATGCACTGAAATGGAATACTAAAGCTAGTTTTTGTTGTCTTGATCATATTTTAGAATATTTCTTTCTTGGTAATTTTTTATTCAAGGTTAAATGCAAGACTCTGATTGATCTTGAGTCAGACAGTAGGTAGTTGACTGAAAAAGGAGATTCTTTCTAAAAATATCCATTGCTTAACAGTAGGTTATTCTAAACATGATCAGTGTCCATTGGAAGACGAAAGGTATCCGACTCATAAGAAGTTTACTCTAGTTGAATGAATGCTAAGTCTAGTGAAATCAGTGTTAAATATGTAGTTACAGTTATGGGATTGCACAATATGGTGGAGGTGATTGTACAAGATGTGTACACGATTATGTATGCACGATATCTGCCAGATAGAAAAAAACTTTGTTGCCGTCTATCTACCACACTGATGTGCCATTCAATCACGGTTCATATAACTCTTATTTGCATAACTTCTGTAATACTGTCATTTTTGTTGTCAGTTTGTAAGGAAAAAATAAGCACACATGAAAACTTTAAGCATAGTTGTGTGCTGGATACGTATACTGCATTGACGTATTTGGTGGGTTGTTACCACAACTGTGCAACTGATTGAATTAACTGATCGTCAGCACGGAAATAAAAATGTAAAGCGTACATAATACTGTAATGTACAGTTGATAATTCCATAGGTCACTAATATAGTATCTGAGTCAAATATGAGGGGATCTGTAGTACGTTTTCATTAACAACCAAACCAAACAACTGTGCATGTGTTAGCTACAATACAGTTGACATGTGGAATTCAAACTGTTTCAAATCAGTTCAATAAAAAATAACTCTAGTGTGGAAGCTAATTGATCTGAAATCCTTACCATATGCAGTCTTCCATCAGCTTGTTTCTTTTGACCAATAGATGCAAATTTACCCTGAATATTTTCAGCAATCACATGTACATCAGACGAATCGATTGACACAGTTCGCGAACTGTCAGATTTTGACAGTTTAGGTTGGTGAATTGGTTTATCGTATAATCTCACTTCAATTGATGCCGAGCTGTCGGGTGCAGCTAAAACAGGAGCCAAAAGCACCATGCACACATTTATGAGCGCCCACAAAGGGTGCCGTTTGCTCTGTCTAACGAAAAACAGGAACAGCTGGAGAATGACCCAGGCCACGGCGGCCATGTTTTTTGTTTTGGTTTGTAATATAATCATACCTCCACATTAAAGAGTCCCACATCCCACATTTTCCCGCGTGTACGTCGAACGGCGAGAAGAATACATCACGGAGTTCAAAATTTTCAGATATGTGATGATTTTTATTTCCCTTTAAACATAACTGTAAGTACTTGTTTGGTTGCAGAAGTTTTTAAAGTTTATTTTTTTCATTTTCTCTCTTATATTTGCAGTGTACTTTCTTCATTGACAGAGCAAGTGCGTCTATCGGCAAAGCAGGCTATTGTATTGTGGCCGTTATATAATGATCTGCTCTAAAGCCTAGTACTGGAAACACCTACCCGTTGTTTATAAAATTGCAAGAGTCTATTATTTTGTATAAAAATGACAGCGTCTTGACTCTCAATTCTTTTGATCAGTGGCATTAAATTTGTCCGACGTATTCCAACTATCTATCCACGAGTTTACTTTTGAGAAAAACAGAATGGCCGACAGGCAGCCATCTTGGTTTTTTACCTTGAAAGTATGTCATCGCTTTTTTTTTTTAAGAAGTGATGGAAATATTTCTCTCAAAATTTCATATATAAGTCCCCCTTTCTCCTAAGTTGTGCACATTAAATCTTTGGGTCTTATCAGAAACACAAAATGGCGGAAAGGTGACCATCTTGGATTTTGACTTCGAAAGTTTGTGATTGTTTTTTTTCTTCAGAAGTACTTGACAATCATCATGGATTTTGCCTAGTGAAGATTGTTATTGCTATTTCTGAAGAAGTACCGAATTGATATCTCTCAAATTTCATATGTATGTTCCCATTGGTCTCTCCTTGTGGTCATTTGCTTTTGGGACTGATAAGAAGAAACAAAATGGCTTCCAGATGGCCATTTTGGAGCTGGCAGGTAAAAATTAACAGTTACTTCTGCAAACGAATGTTCAAATGTCTTAGTATTAAGAGCAAAAACAGAGAAGAGAAGGGAAAAGATATAAAAGATCAAAAGGATCGAACAATTGTATGGCACCAAGATCCCTCAAGGATCTCTTGTTTATTTTTTTAATGGGAATAGTTCAAACCTAGATAGAATTTATTTTCTATTAATATAAGCTGACTGTTTAATAAGATGTAAATATTGACATTGATCCCCAGGGGCTAATGGCATGACCAAAAGTGGGTCAAATTGACTGAAATTTCAAAGATGTTCTACTGTTCCTGGATAGAAGATCATAGGAAAATTCAAATCTTGTGTGAGATTTCTTTTAATTTAAACTTGGTTAGAAGCCTTATAATGAGACAGCAGTTAATGTATACATAATTTACATTTGTGTTTTATATGTACAATATAGTTCCAAGTTATATCACTTTTTTAACAAAATCAGTTCTGCGATATGTTACAAGAACCATTGTGACTTAGATGACTGTTAAGGCCCTTGGGCCTCTTTATTGTTTTATATTTGTACTTAAAAATTGTTTGTGTATAAAATTACGTAATACTTTTGTTTATTTAGTACTTCTTCATTACACCATGCTATGAGACACATATCCAGTAAACAACCAATGAAAATAAAGTCAATCTTTGATGCAAAATGTCTTTTTCATAGAAGCACTGCTAAGTTGAACCATCGGATAAGCTGAATATTTCGTTTTGGTCCCATCAAGTTCGACTTATCCATGTTTAACTGTATATAGGTCTTGATAGTCAGATAACTATTAAGGACTGTGGGCCTCTTGATGGACAGTAACATACTAGGATATATAATAGGGTTATCAAGAGTGTTATAAATAATTAATGACCTTGACTCAATATCAAGGTTACAGGAGGCAAATATGTCAAAATCTTCATATGGTAACCTAGAAGCTTTGAGTTTTGTTAGCCACTTTTTAGTTTGTGATAATGAAATCACCAAAGTTAACTTTTCCAAAAATGTTTTCTCTTTTTTAACTGTAGAACAACTGGGAACGAGATACAGACCTGTTAAACACCTAGTTGTAAGTCATCTTTATTGTTTGTTGTTAACAGTAAATCTTTTTTTGATTTCTTTAGTGGGACAGCAAATTTGAAACCTATGTCATTGAGGAGAAATGGAATTAAAAGTTGGTAATACTGATTCTGATACTTATAAGTTAGCGGCAAGCCAAAGATATCCCAAAACCGTGCTGAATGCATTATACAAGTCGTGGCGACAGGGCGAGTTCTGCGATATCACGCTGCATGTTGGTGAGAAGAGTATCCGAGCCCACAAGAACGTACTAGCATCACTGTCTGAATACTTCAAAGTCCTCCTTCGCATAGATGCAGAGGACAAATCTGACGTAGAGCTACATGATATAGACTTTGATAGTCTTGAGCTTCTGCTTCAGTTTGCCTACACAGGATCAGTGGAAGTCACTGCAGACTATGTACAGAGCCTGTTTATAGGTGCTGACTATCTACAGGTTGAATTTGTGAGAGACGCGTGTCTGAGGTTGTTGCTGAAACATGTTGACAAAAGTAACTGTATATCCATGCTGTTATTTGCTGTTAAATTTTACTTAAAAAATATTAAAAACAGATGTTTTGACCTGATTAAGCGACACCTGGAAGAAATCAGCCAGTTATCGGAGTTCTCGTCTATCCCCTATGACTGTGTTCTAGAATTGGTCAGTCAGGATACATTAATAATATTTCGAAATGGGTTTCCTCTTCCAAATGACCTGAATGAATTGGCTATACTTAGAGCTGTGATCTGCTATATCTCTGGGCAGGACGAGGCAACTAAGTTGAATGAAGAACAAATATACTCTCTGGTTGTAGCTGCTCGATTGATCTACATAGACTATGATGAATGGGAAAATGTCGTTAAAACTCACTCAGATATTCTGATGGAGAAAAGATTTAGTACTGTGAGACAGTACCTATTAGATCATAAAGACGTTACCAACAAGTCTGTGTTGATGTCTTTACAAAACTGTAGGTCGCCTCCACTTCACTGGATTGTTAGACATCACAAAGATAAAGCTAAGATCGTACCTGATAAGCAGAGTAACTGTTTTAAGTCTGAATGCAGCATTTATTCTAAAGGATATTTCAACGATGGAAAAGGCGAGAAATCAAAAGAACGATCGCAGATCTCAAAGATAGTGCTTGTAACACGATACAATGAACACCAGAAAGAAAATGTTGTCGTAGGGATACATGTGTTTGATGACTACTGGCATCACCATGGCCTTGCTAAGGACTCCCCAGAAGCAAAAAGCATTTACGAGGTAGAATTAGAAAAGGGAGAGGTGATTGTTGAAGTAAAATTAAGGACACGGTCAATGATGATAAATTGTTTATCATTTGTCACCAATCAGGGAAGAAGCCTCGGACATTTTGGAGGTGCAGAACCTCCAAACGTTGTCCTAGAACCTCCTCCAAATTTGAGTGGATATTTACACAGTTTTTCAGGTAGGGATACAGAGTTCTGGGGCATAAAATCTGTCAGATGTATCAATGTTAATTGGATATGCCACAGAAACATTGAAATCGTGGAGTGCATTGACAGCTGGGATGTCATGTGGCAACATTTGGGAGAGGATGATGATGAGGAGGTTGCACTTGGATATGGGTATGCATCCAGTGATGATTACCCATACTATTTTGGAGAGGACAGTGATGATGATGATGATGATGATGATGATGATGATGATGATGAATTGGATGTGATAGACCTGTGCGTTAACGACTACGAGCCTGAAAGTGATTCTTCATGAGTGTTGTTTTCAAATGTAGGTGTTGATTGTTTCAGTATACTAAATTATTGATGTCAGGCATTCAGTTATATTTGACATCTTGGTCCAAGTTTTTTTCACAGGTAATAGTTATGCTTAAATTTCAGGCATGTGCATTTAGCTTGGAGGTAAAAATGACTTATTACTGTGTTTGTCCTGGAATAAGGAAAGATGACCAACACGTCCCATCAAAATCAGGTGATAGATGTATAAGTTAATTGTTCAGCTTAAAGCAACACCTATATTTCTTAGCCTACATTAATTTTTTTTATCAATTTTCAAGGAAGGATTGTTGTAAAGTCAAAATTCCTTTCCTCAATGTTCTTCAGAGAAAAACCATTTACAAAAATATAGAAAGAGTTCACCGTTTTCTACAAATGCTCCTTATTTTTCTGGCATGCAATTAATTGTGGAATCCTAAAACTTACATATTTTTTGAGGACAAACACTAAATAAACATAGTACATGTACAGTTACAATTATTTACTGTCAGCAATGTTAGCTTTATAGAACAGCACTTGACATCAATGGGTTTGTTATTGGGAATGGACTGATTGCCAGATAAGTACTGTATCCTACACAGCAGCATGTATCCTTAAATTTAGTGACCCTTAAATTACTTGGTATCTTCATGCACAGTTCAAACATGTTGGGTTGATGTATATGATTTTTGAAAAAAAACTTTATCAGTACATGGTAACAGTTATGTAGACTTAGTTATGCATCTGTAGGTGATAAGATATGATGCCATGTTAAATAGTAGTTGTTGCCTGCGACAGGCTTAAATAGTAATTACAAGAATGCTACCAAGTGAAAATAACTTCCTCAATGCTGAGAGACTTGGATGCATTTGACCTGCATGTTGGATCAAAAGTAATTTGATTCTGGAAGTATTAGACTTTTATGTATGTGTATGTTCATGCAACACATCACAATAATTTAGTTTATACAAACAATAGCACGCATGTACTTCCTTTCAACTTTTACATGAAACTATAGTGCAGTAGTACTAACAAAGAAAGAGAGAATTAGAAAGAATTCGAGATAATTAGGGATAAAGACACAGTAAAGATTATTAATACTAATTCATTATAGTGATAGGCATATGATATACTGTTTTTAGTGTTTACTATTTATATTTCTCATCTTTTAGCTTATTTGAAGTTTTAAGTACTGATGTTGATTCTGTTGACACTATATGGGTTCTATTGTTTTACTTATGTTGATTCTATTGACACTGTATGGTGTTCTGTTGTTTTACTTATGTTGATTCTGTTGACATATGGTGCTTTATCATTTGTATTGATTTGATTGATAATGCGAGATTTGTTTCTTTTCACAAATTTATCTTTAAAAAATGTACTTATAATTACATTGAACAAGTTTTAAAGTTCATAGATTAAATATTGTATTTCTTCATCTTTTTTCACTGCCTCTACTGAATGAGCTGTATGAAGGATTCACGTTATAGCTGCATACGTGATGGCTGATGAGGTTTCAAGAGTATACATGTACTTGGTATCTCTGTCAGTAAGTCACCATTTCAGGTTCATACAGGATGACATCAGACTTTGAAATTGGGTACATTAAGTGCGTGTTTGTCTCAGATGCTGAATGTGGGTCAATGTGATGGTCCTTATTTACCATTGACCTTAACTGCACAACGCTTAAAAAACCAGCTTTGCACAGTATGGTACTGTAGGACAATAGTAGTCTTTACTTTCGTACTATCACAAAGCGCACCTCGATCAACACATGCAATCACCTCACATTCACTGGCATTGGAGGCCAGTGACCATAGCTGTTGATGGGAAATTCAGTGACATAAATCCAAAACATCAAAATGATTTCTATTTCTTTACAAGCTGGAGCAGTACATGCTGTATTTTGTATCCTTCTTGCATCTTCACTATAAACATACTGAGTGTGATGTTTGATGCTACTGGCCATATCTAAACCTAAGGCAAGTGACTGGAAGATAAATACATGGACAATTTTTGTTTTTTTAAGGAATGATTTATTGATATTGGCACATGATGGATACTAGATGATTCTATAACATATTGTAATAAAAGTATATTTAATACATCAGATACAAAGCCCAGTATTCCCACTCTAAAAATTACTCAATGACCCATTAATACATAGAGAAAGGGTAGTTTATGTTATTGTAATTACATTCATTATCTTATATACTGAATGAACTGTATAAACAATCCTGTTTTATCAGCTACAAAGTGGTTTGTAATCTCCAGGTCTATTCAATTGTATGACCTTCCCATGCCTAAATATAACTCAATGGAAGAAAAAGAAACAATGTTTACAAAATCACATTTCATAGGACTGCACATAAACAATAGCAAAATATCTAATTATCTTTCAATCAAGTTTCATTCTAACTCCATAAGAAAATCATTGTGACCCCTAAATATATCTATATATAAAGTTTTACTTCTAATTATATAACATAATTGAGATCCATTCTGGGCTCTTAACAATTTCTGAATGAACAAAAACAAATTGGAAAGACATTCGAGTTTCGTTATAATAACTACATGATATCACATGCTCTACCAGAGCCATTAGCATTACAAAAATGACATCACATATTTCTCCTCTTGAAAGAACCTTATTCCAATAATGTGAACCACAGGTTTATGCATGAGTGCTTTGTAATTTCAAGAACTTCAGACATGTACATTAGAGACTTGGGTATACATCCTTTTTCCTTCTCAGAATTCTGCACTACTAAACATAGTAGATAAAAGTTACAACGCAGACCAGGATAACAAAGATTTCTTAAATCTGATCAATTGTAATGGTCTCAGCCTTGGTGTTTGGTGACAAAGTCTTCTATCATGCACCTTCTGTGATTACAAAAATATTGGTGTTTCAAATCCAAAATTCTAGTGAACCTTAATTCTGACACGAGGGCTGATTTTTATGAATAAACCAAGCAGCCACTGTATACACTCAAACAAATTGAATGTGTTAAGTCACTCACACAATGAAAGACAAATTAGATGAAAAATATAGATAAGTACCAGGGTACACAATATTACAAATATATATATGATAAAAAATGTTGCAGCCATGTAACAAAAAAAAAAAAAAAAAAAAATCTGATGTGTTATGTTATACAAACTCCAATATGAACTAAATCTAATGAGCTGAGAACTGATATAAAATATACCAATATAATCAATTAAAATCAGATAGGCATTTTGATAACGTTAAGCAAGCACATGCGGCCGAGGTTTTTATTGAAAGTGAATGCAATCATTTTCTTGTAACTTTAATTTGAAATACATCACTTTAATACATATGATTAACCTGAGAATTAATATTATCGGCAATTGGCATCTTTATTTTGCATGATACAATATAAATGTTTAATTTTTACTAAAACACTAGAAAACATTCCACCTGAGGTAGGTTAGAGAATTTACACAACATATATCAGCTACAAAGGTTTAGGTGTTTGATATGTCAAACACTTTTGCACACTGGACTTGTTAGGGTGATAACTGTTGTAGAAGCCCACAGAAGTTCTTAATGAAGAGTAAGTGGAAAGAGTACAGGGTAAGACCAGCAACCGGTATTGCCAAAGTATAAGTCCAACCAAGATAAGGCCAATAATGGAAGAAACTATGGACTTTGGCGCTGATAGATCCTAGCTCGAATGACACTTCAACATAAGTGAATGTAACAAAGAGGCACCACAACTAGTGGACTGGTGTGAGCAAAACGGTCAGCTCAGCATGGTTAAAGTATATTAGCTACCCAAACCTTTGAAGCTGGTGTATGTTTTTACACTCCTACCTCTGGTTTATAATTTCTAATGATGGAGTGAACACCCTGTTACCTAGTGATGGTTTTAGTTTTTTGGAGTTGTAGACTAGGTCATGCTCAAAAAAGGTCGTAACTATGCATTGCCAAATACAAAATGATGCAAATAACATCCTGGTTTTATCAAGTCATTCATCATTTAAGAAGATCTGTGTATCTAATGCCTTGACCTAGAGGTGAAAGTGTAGACATATTGTATTGCACATTTGTTTATGAATTTAAAGTTGATCCATATTTCCAACAGTAATAATCTACAACCTAAAAGACAGTCTCATGGAAAATGTTTACTCTTTCTTGACCTTTAACCTAGAATTGAAAGCCAATTTTATCTTCATACAATGTACAACATAAAATCTTTTTGAAAATGTCCAGTTCCAAAGGGAGACAACTTGGTGACAAGTACTACAATGTACATGATCAGTGGTGAGGGGAGGTAACTTAGATGATAGTTACAAGTTTAAAAAAAATAGTATATATATTTTGATATTGCATAAATCTAATATGTCTTGATAGTTGAACAGCAAAGGAAACATACAATTATTTCAATGTTACATAAGAATGTAGACTATACATGATAGACAGAGGACATAGAGAAGAATATCACAGGTCAGGTGAGAGAGACGAGTTTGGGGCGTCGGCAAGAGGGGAACGTTTGCATGAATCCGAGGAGACTGGTGACTGGTGACCTAGATTCCGAGCCAGTGGAGATATCTTGTGTTGTGGGGATGGTGAGCCTTCCATGGAATCATCACTGGATGAACGGCTGTCATTTGCAAACTGAAGATAAAAGTAATATATTGATAATAAGTGCATGTAAAATTAGTATATTTAAAATTTTACGCTTTTCAATATGTATATATAACTGTGTAGTTTATTCTAAGAGATGATTATTTATTTTTTCAAAAATCAGACACTCTAAAATGGAGTTTGGAAACTGAATATTTAATTCCTTTTTGTCCTTTTCAAAAAATGATATTGTACATCCATTATTTCAAATGTAGTAAGTGTTTTTGTAACTTTTGGAAAATAACAAGAATGAAAGATATACCATTAATAAAAACAAGTTTATGGGTCCTGTTTCTATTACACTCCGAAAAAAGGTACTCTGAAGTAAAATTGACCTGTTCTATACCCACATGTGTTTTGTTTTTATCATCAGTTGGGGCTTAATGATATAACCTTAATACTGCTTCTGATACATGTATATTGTATTTTCAAAAATGCATGTAGAACTATAACTAGAAACACATTGGTTTGTTATCTTTAAAAAAAAGGATGAGGAGGGAGACAGAAATCCAAATGAAATTCAAATTGTTGCCAAAACAACAGTGAACTCTACTTATTGTGCCTTCTTATTTCTGTGAGTGTGTAAAGTGCCTTTTCAGTCAAAGTTCACTCTGTTCGCCAATCAAAACATGATCAATTGTAATTACACCACATGTGCTTAAACATTTATTTTAACACAACATTTATCATGATTAATTGATGCCACGATAGTTAAATAACACCTACGTATTTTGGTAGAAAGTGACTTCTGTGCAATGTTTTCTCATGTATGCATTAATTGTTATTGTTCTTTTACTTTCATGTATAAGGTTTGAATTTTACATAGTGTTCAATAAGTTACATACTATAGCAGATTTGTTTCTGCTGTAAAAATAAGTACTATGTAAAGTAACTTTTAGGGGGTGATTGAGGAAAAAAATTCTCAGAAAGGCAGCTTGCTTTTAAACATTTGCTTCCAGTATTGTAAAATAACACAGGTTATTGATTTCAAAGGTTTTCGATTTGTACACTACAGAAATGGTAAGATATTGTGACCAATATTAAAGCATATCACATTTGTTTGGGGCTATAACTATGTAAATAGGATGGTAAATGACCAGATATTAGTATCAAACTATGACCCACTCAAACACATCCTCTTATACAAATTGGGTAGGTGACAAGAATGTCAAAATGTCTGACTGACAGATTGACCTAAATTAACTAAATGATAGACTACCAATCTGTGATTCTTTCCACTGCTATGAATGAGAGGTAAACGATTAGTGACCAGTCCTAGGAAGATGGAACAGTTGTATGGTTCACTTTTGATTCATTATTTGTTTCTATTTTCCCTTGAACTGATCTCTTGTTTATCCTTCGTACAATCCCATTAAATAGGATTCAAGTTTAGATTTGGATAATGATGCAAGGTTTTGAAGCATAAATAAAAGTAACAAAAAAAAAGACAAAGAAAAGCTGTTAGATTTAAGCTTAATATACTCACAACAAACTTTTTCTTTAAAGCTGTCGCCATCATGGGAGTTAATCCTTTACCAGTAGGTCGTTTGCGTTTCACTAATGGGGTGCCCCCTGGGCTCCTGTATCAAATATACCAGAAGTTAGTGTTACTGTCGTCTATTTTCAACAAAAGTCTAACATATCAAACAACAGCACAATATTTAGTAGAAAAACATTAAATTGGGTTTCATGCTAATGATACAAAAGGTATATATGTATGGTTACCGTTGACCTACCTACTTGAATTTAAATGCTTTCCAGACAATTTTAATGTAATCTTTTGTGTATTGTGATTTAGTTAAACCTTTTTTTTTTTTTGGAAAATAATAAATCTACACGTAGTATTATTTTTATCATTTTTACTGAAAAGTCAAGTTAACAACAATGTATATCGGGTTGTACAAACTGAACTGTTTGAAAGATCATTTAATACATCAAACAAGATATAAAACACTTACCTCTTCATAGTGGTTTTCTTAAGGCTACCTTTAAAACTTAGCACTTCACTAGCAATCCTGCATAAAAGCAATCACAGGGTTGGAAACAAGTGGCAAAGCAAGTAAGAAAATTGAGAACAATTTATATTACAACATTTGTAAAGTAAAGTTTAATTTTCAACTTAAAATGTTTCTGAGGAAAGGAAATCTAAAACATAATATTAAATCATCTATCCACTTTTCCTTGGGAATTTTTGAAGTACCAAGTATAATGAATACTGTGCTCACTTTTCTTGTATATTTTCCTTGTCCTGGTTAACTGTCGTCCGAAGTATTCGTTGCCGTAAGTCTAAGTCCGGGGACATAGATAATGCCTGTTTATTTTCTGCTCTCTGAAATAATTATAGTACAACATATATGAATTTTATTTGACTGAATTTTAATCTTTTCAATCCATAATTCCCCACTGGTCATCAACCAGAACATAAAGAAATTTGAGGTAAAATAATATTGGTGATTTAGCATGAACAAGGTGCTATGTTAGCTAAAAGGTACAGTGAATTAATTTTACTATGATACACATAACCATCCTAAAGTTATCTGTAGTGCGACATCCACAGCACTAGGTGTGCATTTGATTTTATGGGAAATAAGTCACAAACAACCTATTTCAGTGATCGAGGTCAAAGGTCAAATACTGTAGGGAAATATTATTGGAACAAGGAAAGACAGGGGGACAGAAAACAAAGTACAAATCTTCATGTATATCTAGCTAGACTAATGATAATTGTGTAAAAGTTGATAACAATATTAACCATGGAGATAGAATTACTTAACAAGTACAAACAGAAGATGTCAGCTATCTATAATTGCATGCTATTCTACCAGTACTTTTCCACATGAAAAAAGATGTTGCAAAATTGTGATACATTGTGCCTAATCCCATTTATTTGGATTTAACAAATAAAATGTTCAAACCAAATGTATCCACATATAAATATATTCAATGCAGCTGGTTCTTGTAGCTTTTGCATATAAAATAAAAAGTTGACAGTACAGACATGGTACAGAATGCCCCACCCACTCCATACACGTAGGTAGATACAATAAACTTCTTAATGTTCAGTTCAATAAAGTGAAATATTTGATGTAAAGAGGAAACAACCGTATCTTATTTGATTAAAATCTTTAATTATAAAGTTTTCAAAGTGACATCACAGTAAAATCTTTTCAAAAAAATAAATAAAAGATATGCAAGTATATTGTTTTATTATTCTTAATTTTTCAATCTTTTTTTTTACACTTGAATGTTATGATGCCATCTCATTACTCATAGTTCATCTGGAATGTCCAGTTCAATCACTCAAATTGTTTAGAAAACCCCTAAATATAGTGATGATAATATACACCTGTTATAACTCATCATACATTACAAGTCGGTCAGATCTATGATGGTAGGAATGATTTGTATCAACGGCAGTAATAAAGACTATATAAAACATATTTGTTGTGAAATATAATCTTAAAAAATGTTGTACATAGTTTCATTTGTCATTCCACTACAACAATTTCCCCCTCCAGGACCCCCGAGTTACAGCACAAGCTTACTTCTCAACTTCAATTTACATGAAACAAGGGTTGCTTCCTAATTGCTTTCGCAAATGTCTCTTACCATCTGTCATACCGACTTCCTATCCAAAATCTCGGATTAAGTTACCTAGCACCATTCAGAAACTCTTTGCTTTGTAGCTAATGTTGTGACTGATTTTGTTTGCCACCACTTCGCCCAGCATACTATTCACAACCATTGCCAGATTGTATACACATTCATTTCCTTAAATATAAACTTTATTTATTTTACAACAATTGCGAAACAAGTTATGTCATTTCCTTGTTGGCCCGGATGTAAGCGCGCGAGCTTTGGTGCTGATCTTTATCTTTTCATTTTAGATCTCCATTGTTAAAAGATTTATTAGTAATTGTTTTGTTTACTCCTCAGTAAATTCGCACACTATTATCCACTAAGGACCTGCAACCTATTTGTTAACACAGAATTTGGCGAGAGAGGGAAAAAATCACTGTGGTGTTCCCTTTAAGTAACTGTTCTGTAGATATACCAGGTATATATATATATTCTCTGCAATAACATACCAGTGGTGGTCTTGGCTCAGCTCTCCTTAACTTAACCTGCTGTAACTGTTCCAAGGTCACTGATGGCCGAGAATCTCTCTCCTCCTTTAATAATGATATTGTTCAATAGATTACATACTAATACTTAAGAGTATACAGTATTTCAAAAGTTCCCATAACAAATACATTCACAAAGTACCAAGATTTCTACTTGTTTATCCAAAGGCATACAGCATTATTAAGTCAGATAACAAACACACTTGGTCCTTTGGGCAAGGTGAGCTAATAAAAACACAAGCAGATATAAAAACTGTTCCTAAGGAACTAGAAAGAAAATAAACAATAAAGTTCATAGGTTGTAAACTTCAGTGTGACTTGGTGAGATTGTTTACCTTGGAGCTGATCCTGCGTTTCCTTGTCCTGATGTTTGTTGAGATTGGGGTTTGGACTGGGGGTAAGGGAGGAGGTGGGGGAGGAGGAGGAGGTGGTGGTGGGGGTACACCAGTTTGTATCATCGAAACATCTTTCATCATGGAAATTGAAGACACAGATTTTCCACACTGAGGACATCGACATCCTGAACACATTCCAGGGGCAATATCATGAGTCTTGTCTTCAGACTGAAATCATATACATATTTAAGGTTGAAAAGAAAAAAAAACTTCTTGAAAGACTTTTCAATGCCATGTTCATAAATTTTATAATATTTATATAGATTAGTTGATATATTAACCCAGTGTAAATTATTAAGTTTACTATATAATTGTCACCTTGAAAAAAAAAAAAGAAAAAATAAAGCAGATTATCCTAGCCTAACAAATTTGTGGCTATGAGCATTTCTGATCTTTTTAGAAAATTCAAATGAAAAGTCAATTTCACAGAGGGAGACATATCTTAGTGAGATACATATCACAGATTGATTCCAGCTGTATCATAACCTCCTTACAAACAGACCAAAAATTTGGTAAACACTCAGGAAGCTCAACAATTGCAAATTTATATCAATGTGTATTTTTAATTATCTTTATGTGTGGCAAAATTATGCCAATAAAAGGCTTTTATAATGAACATTGATTTGATATCAACACTTCAAGGAATGATGTTCAAGGCAGCCGTTATCAATTGTGACCTTTAATTTTCTTAAAATTAATATATAACAGAAAGTTGCTTAATTATACAAATGAATACCATATTGTATGTATACCTGTTCTGGTCTAGAGTCTCGCAGCTGTTGAAGTTCCCGTTCCAAGTCATCAAGTCGCTCAAACATCTTCTGAAGTTCCTGCTGGTACCAATGGTGGGGAAACACCTTGTCCCTTGCCACACTTAAACTCTAGAACATTTCAAATTTAATGTTATTTAATAAATTCATGATGTCAGTAAAGGACATCAGGAGGCATGTATTGAACTCAATGAGTTATTGTCTGGTAATACATTTGGTAAATATACTTTCCTTGTAAATTTGAAAGGTTAGCAGCTGATATATTGAAGGATCATAATGCCTAAATCTAGTAAATGGTGATTCACATATATGTACAAATGTAATGGCCTTTCAAATTGGCCAAATTTTGATAATGTAAACACTTTCCATGTGTAATGTACAGACCTTTCCTACACCAACTTCCAAATATTTTCACAACTCATTGTAAAGAAGTTTCTCCTTATTTATATAGGATTATGATAGCAGTGGTTCTGATATCACCATTAAAAAAACCCCCAAAAAAACCCAAAAATAAAATATTGCTTGTTCCTATCTATTTGCCTTTTCTAGGTTGTTGCATATGACACACAGATAATTATGGTGTTCAATGTTTGAAAACATCATGTATCATCAAAATTGATTTTATATTGACTTGAAAAAATCACATTGAATTAAGAATTTTTTGAAAATGAAGAAACTAAAATTAGAAATTCTGATATAAAGTTTCAACCATGGTAAGTATTCAGGACTTTTAGTAGTCAAAAGTTGACTCCAGATCGACATAAAATAAACAGTAGATATAGAGAATGTAAGAATAATTTGGATATGGCCTTTAAAAACAGTCCTCACAATAAGAGAGGAATTCCTAAAAAGTTCACAGGTTTAAAATTCATTTTGACACACCTTTCCTAGACATCTACTGCACCAGGTCAAAAGCTTACTGACACCAGTGGCTGCAGCCACTAGTTGACCTGTCCTGAACCATACTATTGGATCAGGACCCGACACATCCACCTTGTTCCTATATGGACTCAGACTGAAGGATTCCATATCACTGTAAAAATCAAATTATAAGACAATTATCTTCAAAAAATACATGTAAGTCATGGCTGTGATGCTATTCTATTCTTGTCTGTTTTAAAATTATCAAAATATATCAAATGAATTAAAATTTGCCTGCTTACCTTCTGTAATTAAAGATAAAGCAACTCAGATTTTCTACTTAGATTTAGTATATATATTTTCCATGAGTTTACTAAGGTGAAACATCTTCATAACTCTTAACATTGTAATCAGGAATCTTATTAGCATTACAATATAGCATTGTGATCATCTTGTGCAACACAAATATTAGTGTAGCAACTATACCTGTCATATTTTTTCAATAATTTTCAATGTATTCAGCTGGAATAGTGTAGTTAAGTTTACTGTAAACCAAATGATAAATCTACTATAGTAGTCATAATCCACTTAGTCTTGCATAGATCATTATCTGTATTGTGTACTAGATCCATTCATTCACTAAATGATATGTTCGTGAGTTTGTTCACTTTATAATCATCTCTCATACCTCTGATCTATATCAGTTGTGAGTTCAGATCACCTCATTAATGGCCCTGGTTAAAGGGAATTTGCATTCAGTCAAGCAGTAAAAATGTCCAGCTAGTGACTGAAAGGTAGTATAGACAGTTTGAACCATGACAGGGTAGTTGTTATTATGAATACTCCATCCCATTTCAATTACTAGTTTGGTGCCTATAGGAGATTAAGATGCTTCCTTGAAACTAGAGAACCTGAGTTGTTGGTGTCTTGAAGTCAAAGAATGTCCCTTTACTCACTTTAGTCAAGTGGCAGGGTGTCTGACCTGAGACTGAAAGGTTGGTGGTTCAAGTTTCATAAGGACGAGGTATTTTTCATTACTCCCTCAAAATGTGACACCTTTATTAGTGTTTAATTTAAATGTTGTAAATAAGATGTAGGCAAAGGGAAGACTGATAAAAGTGATCACAAGTGCTTTGTGATATTGTACAGATATGGAAAGATAAAAATTCTTAGTTTCATTTTATTATACTAAATTTCAAGGAATGTATTTTACATCTTTCTTTTTATTTCTCAGGTTATATTTCTTTTTTTCAAAAAACCTGTAATATAAGCTGAAACTGGGAATATAACCTGACAAACTTGTGAAATAAAAAAAATGTAAAATAAGCTGAAATATAATAGAATAAAATGTCCAAAGAAAGCATATGCTTAAATTACCGGTGGCAATTATGTTCACACAGCAACAAAAATGGGCATGTTATTAACCTCATTCAGTAATTGCAGTATCATCTCAACATTGGTTTCAAACCGCTATATATATTCGTGCAGCCATTCTGTAGAACTGTTTAAAGAGAATTATCAAACTATGTCACCTAAAACCTGGATAATTTAATTTGGTCATTCTAACATTCCATGCATCCTGAAAGAAACAAAATCTGTGACTAAATTCATTCATCATAAAAAAGGAATATTTTTTTCATCGGCCAATTTGAGTTCTTTTTCTTAATATTCATGTTAACATGTACAAAACATATGATAAGATAAGTTTATTTTTGGTTCAGGACTATCAGAGTCCTCTCTACCTGACTTTCAATAAACAAATGAATACAATTTTTCGAATACTTCTAATTCTATCCGATATACATGTCTATTGATGTCTAATATCTAACTGTTGCGATGTGAAGGAAAGTTCTTGGTTTTCTAGTGATTATCTTGCTTATTTCTAAAGCGTCAACATTTAATGCTAAACGATCTTTTCTGGCCGTCCCTCTTCCCAGATGTGAAAATAACCCACCAATTTATCATGTGAAAAAAATAGTCCCTGAATAATAAGCCACTAAATGATATAATGTACGAGATGGGTCACCATCTCGTATATCATATCCTCGTCCGCTGGAAGACCGAAAAGTTTATAATAGTGGACAAAACCCCCGTTCAAATAAATAGATAATATCATATCATTTAAACGGACAGATGTGTGCTGATCAACAGCTGGACATTTCGTCAATGTCTTTAATTACATTCTAGATCGATCAAACAGCCCTTGGACATAAGTTATAACTGATGATTCATGTATGTGTATGTCATTGATTTATCTATAACACGTATCATATAACCATAATCAATATAGCTTTCAATGAAATGATATAAATCAGTTTACCAGTTATAATCTTGATTTTCAAGGAAACGGGAAATCTACTCCTTTAAACCTCGCGCCTGACGTTGACTAATCAACGCATCTTTCACAAAACCGAATAACCAATCAAAATCGTCGTAATGACAAGCGGAAGTTGGTATAATTCAAGATGGAGCAGACAGTAAACTCTTTAGAGTCGATGGTAAGTGATAAAATATTCTTTCTTCTGTAGCGCTCGAGAATTTTGATTTAATTCCGATTTGATTTATGATTACTAGCTGGTCGTAGGTGTCCATGCCCTCTCATTATCATTGCTATTCTATGCTAACCAACCATTAAAATACATATGTTTATACAGAACTTGTACTTTCATTTTCACCCAAATCAAAACAATGTGAAGTGGTTTAATTTGTTTGCGTTTTGTAAACAAAGCCCTTTGGACTGAATGAGAAGATTGGCTTATCCATTATACTTGAATATTTGTCGGTTATTAGCTATTGAAAAAAGTGTCTGGAACAATGTCCACCACAGCTGTTTCTTGTTTTCATCCCTCTCTCTTTCTCGCACTTCATTTTAGCGGTCTATCTAAAACGCGTCAATAAGCGACAATACGAGTCTTCAGAAATGTCTTTTTAACTTCTTGGGAAAAAAGCGACATCAGAACACATAATGTTAATATTGCCATAACGCACCTATGTACCAAGTTTCATGTTAATATTTGGGAAAAAAATGTTTGAGTTAGGGAGATTTGAAATTGACTCGATCATCGGCTTTACACATGTATATTGTGTATCACAGCCTCGAGCAGAGTCTTTAAACTATATATTTTGAAATACTTTTAAAAAAGTAAGTGACTTCAAAAGAAATATGTTGTTAATATTATTACAATACATCATTAAAGGACATTTCATGTCATATATGAACAAATGGCTATGTATTGTGATTTCACTTCAGTGAGACTGAGAGCTAGGCACGTGTTTTCACAAAAAGCATGGGTTAAAAGTCCAGTATCTTCAGGTTGTTTATTTCATAATACTCCATAAACTTAATGACATGATAAAATATATGTTTCACATAGGATCATAATATACCTATATATGTCTATACTTTGATGTTGCTATTTATAAATTTTGTTGAGTTATGGAGAGTCAAATCATCCAAGATGGTGTTCATGTGTAACCACATAGACACTAGTAGAGAGTGATATGTTTGTGAGGATTAAGAAGTTGCATGTTTCTTCCAAATTTCTGTTAATGAATTTTTTATGCACTCTACATGTGTGGAAATTGTCAGACATCAGTAAGTTGGTGAATAAAATTCTGCTAGTCCCTTGTACAAACAACCTTTTTAGGGTCAACTACACAAAAGATACTTTAAAGGAACAACAGCCTTCTAAAGAGAAATGAAAAGCAGATGATGCTAGATTGATATACAAAACATAGATAAAAATTCTAACATACACATTTCACATATTCACTTTATTATGACAATAATGAATTTTCCTTGAACTATTTGTATTTCAGTTTACATGAATAAGTAATTTTTGTCATACATAGTCTCTCTAGATTGTCCATTTAACAATATTTACAAAACAATATGTGTCAGAGCAAACCATACATTTACTCACACAGTGAAGTCCAACACAAATGTAAGTAGAAGTCACCCATTACTGTATTCTCAACATTGAAGTCACCATGATTTGGTAATTTTCATATATGAAACAGAAATTGGTACATTAATATATTATTATTATTATATTAACAACCTATCTTTTGATATTACTGAATTTATTAAATATTTCGAAATATATACTTTGAAGATGCTATTTTCAAGTGTGATAATTCAACTCTCCCAAATTCAACCATTTTTTTCAAATAGCAGTATGAAACTTGATATGTTGGTATAATATGGTCATACTAAGAACATATTTTTTAATGTCGATACTTTTGATGTGTATTTTTAATAATACAGCCTGACGACATTTGGGTTATGGTGAAGTGTATGTTTACATACACACATGCTAAGCTGTCAATCTCACTGTAATTAAAATCATCATAACTTGGTCATATTTCATATATACGCAACTGTAACTTGATACACTAGTGTATAATGATCATATATATCTTTTGATTTTGTTAATTTTAAGTATTTTCAGATAGTTTGAAGATGCTACCTGTGATTGTGATATGCAATACACAGTGTGCCATGGACAATCAAGAAAAATTTTAATCTCCCTAACTCATTTAATTTTACAACTATCAACTTTCAGACGATCTTATTCTGCTTGTATTTCTGGCATCCTCTGTAAATGCCTGGTTCCTTCAGCCCTTCATTGTTTGATTGCCGATTTTCATCAGCATCAAGTTGTTGCGAACTATCCTCGGGTGTTTCAATCTAGAACAATGACATCCTCCACTTGGTGGATCAGTAGTGGTGGCCAACCACTACTCAATGGATTCTGGCTCCAGCATTTGTCATTCTTACAGTGCCATATCCAGCATGATGTTCTCTCTGCTACTTCACCCAGTTTCTTCAAGGCCGCCAATTTCACCTTCCCCAACATTCAAAGTTGTTGCTCACTAATTGAGCCGAAAAAATTTAGCAGCTGGCCTTGACTGGTTTAGCCATACTCTTCATCTTCTCTGCAGACTGCTACTAGGTCTGCATACACAAGATTTTTTCTCTTGTGTACCGTCTACATTGAGTCTTTTTGAATGTGTTGGTTTGAGAACCATATCGGGTCAGAATGTGTCCACAATGGATAGGAATAAAAATTTCCCATCAAGGTCCACTTGCAGCTTCCAGTCCCTTTCTCTGTCCATCAGCAATGTGCTGGCCAATCCTCTACCCTCAGCTGATTCACCTTGCTTCACAAAACCGCCAACATTTGTTTTGATGTTGCTAACTTCATTAAGTATTATAAACATATTTCTAAAGATGCTCTACAGCAGTTGTTATCCCTTATCTTTTGTACATTTTGACATTTTTTAAGGTAGACCCCATATTAGGCATGTTTGGGGTATGACTTTGTCTTGGCCAAATTCTTTTGGATAAAGCTTTCTATTATGGTGTTCACAATTACTGAGTATAAGGATGCTAAACCTTTGCTTAAACGTTTGTAGGGATCAAACATAGATGTTATGAATTCACATTGTGAAAATAAAAGAACTTGTTCCAAGTTTTTGAGCTCCATCCTTATGAACGATTATAGACGTTGTTTGTGAAGGCCACTAGGGGACACATTTTGCCTTTAACAAAACTCATTATGTTTTATATATATGATGTGTTTGCAGTTCCAGAAAGCAGAATCTGATTTGAATTACTTGTCGAGGAAGATAGACTTTGAGCTTGGACAGAAAAATAAGGTATTACCAGCAAAAACATATGAATTACAATAGATTTTTCATATAAGAGTGTTCCTGTATAATCGCTCAGGAGATTTCGATCTGGTTTCAATGTACTTTGTTGTACAAAAAAGTCTGTTAGTCACGAAGTTTTAATGCTAAAGCTAAATGAAGAAAAATCTGTTGAAGTTCATGGTTTATAGTAGAGCACTGCCTAACTGTCATGGCTATTGGACTTGTTTACATGCTCTCATATCAATTCAGCAGGACACATATACATATACCAGTAATACATAGTACACAGATTTGACAAGAATACACAGGATGTGATGCAAAATTGGGATAATGAAAATTTTTGTACATGTATATATACATTCATAACCTTCACACCCATTTTGCTTTACACTCAAAACTCAAGGTCATGATGACTGTTCAATGTTGAAGCTGGACAACCAAAAATGTACATACAACATTTCTTTATTTTGAACTTTGAAACTTTTTCATAACACACATGCATACTGAGCTGAAGTTGAGACCACTGATGTAATTTATGTAACTGAATACCACCCTTTACATAAAATGACCTTTCATTAATATTGATTATTAAAACCTAGCACTTAAATAAAATACATAGTGTTGTATTCATATAAAGAATTATGCAGTACAATGATAAACAAATAAAATAAAATCATTGTGATAATTATTTTGGAAGCAGTGTAATTTCATGGATAAATTTTGTTTTAGACGAATCCAGCTCAGTTGATCGAAAAAATTTCAGAAATCAAAAAGGAATATGGTGATTTGGTGAAGGAAGCAACATCTATACAGGAGGCACAAAAGGTAGCTTGTTTTGTCTTGTCAATGATTAGTTGTTTATCGTATCAAAACACTTGTTATTGTTTATTGTTCAATACTAAGTAATGTATGTACATGTACCTTGCTTATTTGGCATATAGCTCTTCCATGGTAACAAACCCACCCATGTTTTAATGTTAAGTGAAATTATAAATGAGGTCTTACTTGCCTTGTCCAAGAGATTTTGAATAACAAATAATTTATTTTGGTGGTTGGTCCCGAGGGCTTATTGGGGGAAAATGTTCATAGGTATATTTTTCATAGTTGTGGGCACATTATTTTGTTTTGCTTAAATATGTTACTCTTTTGTGGACACGGATAAACAACAGTAATTTAGTATGAAGTTGTATATCTGTAGTAATATTATTCGGGTCAAGTTTTGATTTGGTTATGGCCAATTAATTTTTCAAACATACCGTAAATATTCGCGTATAGTGCTCACTTTTTTAAGCTGAAACTGTCGTGTCAAAAAGGGGGTGCGCACTATACGCAGGTACATGCCATTCCTGGGGTTATCATTCCCGAGTTCTGCATCCGCCATATTGGATTACTTCCCTTCACATAGTTATATGTAAAAGTCGTCGGTCTTATATGATAGTTTGGAGAAAAACAACAAAAAAATAAAATAAAATAAATTTCGAATGTTTTAATCATTTTTAGCATTACGGTGAATCCAATTTTTTTTCGTTTCCCGTCGGTCTTACTATTGGTCGGGGCTATATGAATGCCTCATTTTGATGATGCCATTTCACATAAATCGGACAGCCCATCTATGGTATCTATGGTCATTTCACTCAAGAACATTATAATGATTTAAAAATTTTACAAAATGGCAACCCAATAATGGAGAGCCATGTCTAATGGTCTTACATTTCATATGTTTGAATCTCTTGATATCATATGATGAACATAAAAAGGGGAAAAAAGGGAAAAGTAGGGAAATAGAAGTCTCTCATAGAACTAATAAAGAACATTGAATTGTTGATACCATAATCCCTCTGGGATCTCTTGTTGTATCCAATTTTATCATCTGTAGATAGTCTATCACATTATTCAAGAATTTAAGTTGAAGCACACTCAGATATAGGTAATTTCAATCATTACTCATGACAATATAATTTGAGTTGATATCCACATTCAGTAATGAATCATGTGACATATTATGACATATACGATAAACAAGAAAAATATGGCTTTCTCCTCTGTCTGGTGTAATGTATGATCTGAAAACTATTTCCTCCCCAGGAAGCTGTGGAGTATTTCAGAACACAGCTGATGGCAGCATGTCAGTTACTTCAAACCTTACAGCACCAGACTGGAAAACAGGTATAGTTATACATCAGTCTTCATTCTTCAATAACTATCACATACATCTTTATATGATTTGATGATAAAGTCAACATGAAAATGGCTAATTTTATGTGTTTATTTGGCACATTAATCATGGAAATATAGCTTGTATATCTTTATGTCTTTTGTCACTATCCTGTTATTTTTTTTTTTATAATTCTGACGAAATTAACCACAATGTATAAAGACAGAATCTCACCTCACCTATCCTCTTCATGCCCACTGGTAGATATTAGACAGAACCTCACCTCACCTATCCTCTTCACGCCCACTGGTAGATATTAGACAGAACCTCACCTCACCTATCCTCTTCATGCCCACTGGCAGATATTAGACAGAACCTACATAAGTTGTTCTTGGAAAACTACCTGAAAACACGTAAATATAACTTTAATTATGTGAAAGTTGTTTACTCAAAAAATATTTAAAGTATGTAATAACCAGGCCCTTAAACAGATGCAAATGAAAACTTTTGCTGAAAGAATAGTGTTTATATTGCTAACATCCAATACTAAATACATGGGTATGTATTTCAAAACTTCAAAAAACGTTAATGTACTGAAACTTGTATTAAATGCATTTGAGATATATCATGATAATGAAAAACAGGTGCATGATTCCACACCCTAGACCCCACACTACTCAAGGAAATATATTGTAGATATCATTATACACATACCAGGGTTGGAGGACCGTGGGAATGGCAATTCAAATCAGTAATGCTAAATCATTATATCATTGATAGAACATATACATCTCCATTAACTACTGTAATCTGTTCACCTCATGCTTTTGTCATATGGTGTCAAAACTATAATATCATATATTAATAAGCATGTCATATTTTTATCATTGAAGAACAGAAAATATAATCAAAATATATCTCATTCAACATTATGGAAAAAATTGGAAAAATTAGACACTGGCTGTTGTACAGTATCTTTTATAATATATAAAATATATCAAATAATGATACACAAAAAATGATAACAAATTTTTTTAATATAACTCAGTGTGATTCTTCATAAAATAACTCAAACTTGGAGTTACAGCTATCCAGTTGTGCATTTAATCTTCATGTTAGATAAATATTGTAATATAAGGATGGTGAAAGACCAGAGGAGCTGGACAGATTGGAGGCCATTCTAGGTATTAAATTACCCAGTAGTGCAGACAAGCCTGTGGCTGATAGTAAAGGCAATGACGAGGAATCCACCGGTACAAGTGTGTCCAACACATCGCCTGAAGTACCTGAAGAAAACTCCAAACCAGCTGTTTGTACAGGTAAATAGTCAAATTGTCTTGGTTCTGTTACTTGTGCTATGTAACAAATTATTTCATTTGAAGTATTGACATTCCCTTAAGTGTTGTCACTTGTACTGCAAAGATGACCCTAATTGTTTACATGGTAATAAACCTAGTAAACAAACAAAAGTCTTAATGATACATTTTTGATAGTGTTCCCCTCCCGTATCCCATATCTCCTCTCTCAAGACCCTGCAGGGGCTATCCATTTCACAATTGAAAATTCCCCCACCTAGACAACAACACCTCTAAACTTGGAAAATGATTTCAATGAAACTACGTAGGAATGTTGGGGAACATGTGTAGATTTGTAGAGCTGATTATTTAGCAGAAATTTTGGGTGCTATGATAACCAGGTCACTGTACACAGGTTTTTATATAAATGCTATATCTGTGGCCCATTCTTTGATTCTATTTGAACTAGGTCAATTGCTATAGCTAATTATATCTCAGGGTTTTCCATATGAGCCGGTCGCCGGCCAATTTGACAGCTAGACTCCATTTCCGTAATAATGTGTCACATCTAATTATGACTACACAGCCTACTACTAACAAAATTATGGAAAACCCTGATATCTTATAATTTAACATATTGTTTTCAAAACCGTTATTATGGAAACATATTGGAGACTTTTAATTGGTTGAAATTATGATATTAAGTTGTAAATTAGTAGAAAAAGTTTTTGGGGGATGATAAATACAATGGTTCCATTTTGGAAAGAAAAATAGTTGTTGCCATGGCGACCAAATGAAAACCTCTTGTAGGAATCTGTTCGACAACCCCTTTTGAACTATGTTAATAGGACAGGAAGGGGATATTAGTCAGCCATCTTGGCGACAGTACTTGACTTGACATTTATGTCTTTATAACAGAAACACAGTTGTCACCTGCATCACGACGTGCTGATTCTTCAGAATGTCAAGATATCACACAGGAGGAGTTTGAGTCTGTGTCAGAACTGATCAGGGGCAGATGTAAATTGGCTGATGTAAATACTGTAAGTATCTTGTACTCCAGGTTGATTAAGTTAGTGTTGATAAATAACTGATGTTAGGTCAGTTATACTTTAATCACTTCAACTTCAAGAATACTTTATTTTGTGAATTAACCACTTCAGACTTATTCATAAGTACATGAATTTGCAAATGGTGATCTAGGAACGACTATTAATGAGTGAATGATGGGTTATCAGGTATGTAATGGTAACCAAATCAGCAGGGATGTCATCAAGAATTAATTTGTACAAATAAGCGTGATGGATTTGAATTTGCAATTGGCTTTCCTTGCACATTAATGCAAAAATAAATCCCAGGTGAAATATATGTGATATAAACTCTATACCTACACTGTTTGTGATGATGATTACATATAGGATATTTAATAATGTCTTCAGTAATAACAAATATATTTCACCCGTGTGGCTAATATTTTGGTATCTTTCATGAGTTCGAAGAACGAGTGAAAGATACCAAAAATATTAGCTACACGAGTGAAATATATTTGTTATTACTGAAGACACAATTAAATATTCTGTTTATTACATTTTCATCGCAAAAATTAACCAAAACAACGACAAACTTATGATAACTATAAAATGGGTAAGTTGACCATGCTTTTTCCAGACACTACTCACTCATTATACAACGATGTTGTGCACGGCAAACAATAGTCCATTTTATGAAAAATCAGTAAAAATATACAGACTCATAAATAAATCATAATAAATGTTTATTTGTGTTTGGACATGGATTTTGTAATTTATTGATGTCACTTATACATAATAAAATGGTTTAAACTTTAACTGAAAAAATAAAAACAATGTTTGATAAATTCTTCCGTGCATGAAAAAGTATGGCGCCATCCTAGTCGTTGGGGTATATTTGTATCGGGCTCTTTGATTGGTCAATCCTCAAAGTGATATTTTTTACTAGTGAAAAATATAAATGAAAAAAGTGATATTTTTCACTATCACTTTTATCAGTTTGAGATATCCCTATATTTCACTGCTAAAAATGTAATAAAATTATCATCTTGAGGCTTTTTACCTTAGCATATCAATCTTGCTTCTCCTTCATGTGTCTTAGTCTCTGCTATGCCTTATTTCCACCATGTGTCTAACATGTTTCTTCATGTGTCTTCTATTCTTCATCTTCATTTTCCTTATGTCTGCTATGCTTCATGTCTACCTGTCTTTGCATCTTGTCACATATCCAGGTGTCTTATGTCTGCCATGCTTCATTTTCAATTCTTTGTGTCTGTGATGCTTCATCTTCATGTGTCCTAGATTCTACCATGCGTCCTTGTGTCTTCCTTGATTCATCTCCTTGTGTCATTGTGCCTTCCTTGATTCATCTCCTTGTGTCATTATGTCTTCCTTGATTCATCTCCTTGTGTCATTGTGTCAACTATGCTACATCTCTGCCAATCCTTAGTTGTATAATGTCTCTAGAGTTTTGTGATGGACATTTTAACATGACATTCATTTTTACAGGTATATCGTGTTCTCTGGCGGCATTTTAAAGAAGAAAATAATAGGTAAATATTGAATTCTTGAGATTAATGACAGCAGGTAGATCTAGATTTTAGTTACAGTGTGAGATTTTTAACTAGCCTCAGGCCTTTTATTCATCTTTGATATTTGTGTAGTACAATTAATTAGTAACAAGTTGATATTTGTTGATATATACCCCATTGGTTTGAAAATTAATAAATTGTGAAGACAAACTGTTTTGAATACAACTATACACTGGTACGTTAAATTTTCTCAGCTTATTGCAATTTAAACGTATGTTGCCATTTAATAGCAAAAATTCAATACGAAGGGAAAATTTTCTTTTGATTCAGAGGAACCAGAGGTGATTAATCTGAAATTATGATCTCTGCCTTGAGATGGCTCAAGATAAGATTTACTGTAATTTAAGTCCTAATTGAGTGTTTCTTGATTATCATCAAAATTTAAATGAAAAGAAAAAGGACCCTTTTTTATCTACCGTGGTACCCCGGTAGTAATTAGGTAGTTTGTTTGTATAGATATGAAAAAATAGGCTGTAAAATGATATAAATGAATTTGCAGCAAACCACTTAATCCTGGAGAGATGTTCAAGATGGGTTTGAAGGTGTCAGGTACCACTGGAGAGGCAAAACTAAAGGTAAATGAATTACATTCTCTATGATCATATGATGACTTAATTGTACAAAATGGTCACTGAACTCAAATTTTGGTTGACAGTTAGTTATTATGATAATTATCTTCAGAGTGGATCTTCTGAAGATCTGATGTTTCTGGTGACACCACACAAGAAGGTTGAAACAGTCACCCATAAGATTTTAAATCTTACTCTCAGAATCAAAAGATGCTTGTTGTCTTGACATTCAGAACATACATTTCCTGTTAGGTTACCTGACCTATAGGGTCATGTTGATTTATTCACATCATGGTTTGTCCATTTTCATCTGCTGTGCTTAAATATTGCCTATAAATGCTACTCCTCCTTATCACCTGAGTAGATTTCAACCAAAATTTGATGTGGAAGATTACTTGGGGTGGGGTTGGAGATAGGGGATATAGGGCCAGGAAAGGAGGATCAAGATTAATGTTTTCTTTCAAATGCTATACTTTCTAAACACCTGATTGGATTTAAACCTTTTAGTTTGAAACATCATTTGGGGAGAGTAATCATTTCTTAAACAAATGAAATAGTTCAGTGCCCAGGGACAGGGGATGGAGATTCAAACTTGAATTTAGCTATATATTTGCTTTAAACACTGATCTTCAAAAAACATCTGAGTGGATTTCAAACTTTGGCCTGAAACATCAGGGGAGACAATCATTTCCTACATAAATGATATTCATTTACATGAGATTGTATGAAAATTCAGATCAAATGTTTTTCCTTTCAAATTGATATTCTATTAGTGGCTAAATCCTCTTGTGTTTCATCATCAAATGACCATTAAGGCCCATAGGCATTTGTATTCTTTCCTGTTATTTTATATCAACTTGAAAATGTGCCATTGATATTTGATGAATTGTTTTTTACTCATTCACAGATTCTACGGGCATTGAAACTGTGCACCATATCAGCAAATAAGGAAGTGAAATTAGTGTGAAAATTACTTCTTCTGGTCAGTTAGGAACAAACTCAAAAGTTTGAGAATATAGATCTTTGTTGATCTAGATGTAAAGCTGCAATTATAGTGAGATTTTTACAAGTTACATTTTGCTTTGAAGTTTTGGGGGTAAAACTACCTCCAATTGCAAAGGTATAGTAATTTTAATCAGAAGTGTATTGTGCAATGAAATTACTGGTATAAGGTTTAATATTCCAACCATTCTTGCTTATCAGTTCTCATCTTATTAGCTCCCTAGACCAAAGGGCAAATTGATTTGTGCTACGGTGTAACATCTGTTGTCCATTAGGTATCAACTTTCATTGACTTTTCAATAGCCAGGAGACACAGGGTCTCGACATTAGGCAAGTGACATGGTTATATGAATGCCCATGACCTACTTTCTAGGTCATAGGGGTCAAATAAAACAATCAAACTTCTGTTGAACTGAAAAATCATAGAAAAATGACATGTCTTCCTTGGAAGAAGTCTGACAATGTTGAATAGAAAAGTGCAAATTTGTTCTACCATGAAAAACACATGAATCTAATAAATTTTACCCTGACTAGCTTGTAACGTTACAATGTGTTTGCAAACAGTGTATGACAGGTGAGCTATGCAGGCTCTTTAGGCCTCTTGTAATGTGGCTGCAATTCCACAATTAAGAAATTGTGATTATGTTTGAACAAGAAGACTGTGTAAAGGATTGGAACAAAAGCATCTAATGAGAGTGTTTTCCATGCAGTAGGTGTAGATGGAAAATATAAATATTCAACCAGAATTTTCATACCTCTACCAGGATGTTGTACTTCAGGATACAAACTCTAATTTTTTTACATTTATGCTGAAAAATTTCCTAGGATGCTGATACACATTGACCTCATTTTACAAGATGCCATGGGATCAACTTCATTATGTTTTAATGTTTTTTTTTTTTTTGTTTTTTTTTGTTTTGTTTTGTTTTTTACATTATGGAACTACACACAACAACCCCAAAGTAACAGGTACATATACATTGTCACACTAGACAAAAAAATCAAGAAGAGATTTTAAAAGGGTATGCCTTCTTTTCTTTCAAGCAAACATTTACATTGATTTGTTAAAATCATTTGTGTTACGACAACATTTTATAAAAAGATTTCTAATTCTTGCTTATAAACACACCACAAGGTTTCATATATTATTCTCGTTGAAATTACTACGCAGCCACAGCTTATCAAAAGGTGTGGCTACATGATATGAAAAATTACTGTGATGTAAATATTATTCTCGCAACACAGACCAAAATGCCATGTTAGGGGTGATAATTTACAACCTACTTTTTTATGCAATGGATGTAAATACTGCTGTGGTGTTGATATGTAGGTTTGTTTGTGTGATTGTATGTTAGATGTTGTTAAAATGAAAGTACAGGTAGTTTTTTCTGTTATATTAAATGCCTGATTTGACATTTTCTTATTGTGACATTCATCGAAGAAGTTGTAATGGTATGGATACTAAAAGTGCACAGATTATCCCGCCTTATCAGTCCAAGAAGACAGCACTAGAGTATAACTAACTTTAAGAGATGGGATTATTTCAGTACATTAAAATAGCTTTTGTTGGTGATTTTACTGAAGAGTAATAGACGTTGAATTAGCAAACCAGTTACATCAATCTAATTCTCATATGCATGCATCTGATCTTTTGTAATTATTGTTATTTGATAGATTGGTATCAAGGGATTGTAAAAGTTAGGAATCTGATAAAAATCAGTAGTAAAATATGGACCATTCTAACATTGATAAAATTGTATGGACATACTTTCAGCGGCTGATAAACTTTTAGAGTTTGATTTTACTGATGAATGATCAGAATTTAGAGTAAAACTGCCAGGAATTACATCTTATGTGTGTAATTAGCTGGATTTTGTCATTAGGAATGTTTTATGAGTTAATGGGCCATTGATTTATCGTTATACTGCCAGCATTAAAAAACACACTACCATTTGCTTTTATAAAAAGGCAAATAAACTTGTGTCTAATTAATTGGGGTAGTTTTACTTAGAATTGTATACATCTGTATATTTTCAATGAATGTTCTGCCTAATATGGATTTCATACATGTTTAAATATTTTTATATTCACTCTCTGTCTGTACATGACATTTTAAGTGTTTGTGGTCGCTCTCAGCATGTGTGTATATGACAGTTAACAGTATCAGAATTTGTTGATTTATGAAATATCTGGTAGTTTGTCGAGAACAGTGATATTTTATTCAATATGAACATTAAATGCCTGTAGCTGAATTGAAAATATTCATATTTGGGTAGTGTTGAATTGTTCTTTAAGAAAAACAATAAATAGTAAATGAAACAAACTTGTTTACTTGTTTGTTGTATATATATACACTAATTAAGATGGGAAATTGCTGTAAAGCTGACATAATGATAAATCCTTCACTAGGAACAGGGGTTGGGGTATTTGGTTTTGCATTTTCCTTATGTCCCTTTGACCTTTCTGCAGTCTATTCTTGTGGATTATCTATATAAGTGGATTGTCTATAAAACGTGGATTGTCTATATAACGTGGATTGTCTATATAATGCAGATTTTAATGAAAGTATGGACATTGTTAGAGTGAACAGTTCCTACAGAGTAGCAAACAGATATAAAAAGAAAACTCAGGTCTGGTGATGCCAAAAACAAGCATGGGGACTTATCTAACAAATAACTGTAAACACACAGTACCGGATGGGACTTTAAATGGTGGCACTTGAGAGAATATCCATGTTGCACAAAGATCCCTCTGCTTTTTTTTTTTTTTTTTTTTCAAGAGCAGACTGATGACGCTGGCCCAGAGATTAGGTCTATGTTAGCCTTAGGACGACTTTTCAGGAAATTTTAGGACTTCCAATATATTATAAACATATATGTAAATTCATGTAGATGATGATCCCATCCTCTTTCTCACTGTTTGCGACGAGTCCTCTTCTGCGATGTGCCTATTGTTATAGTTATAGGTTAGGGTTAAAATGAGGTCTGACAGGTCCAACAACTAGAACATGTACAAGGGTTAATATTTAGGTCGGTTGTTTAGGGTTTTTTCTCCGGTCATGCTAGGCCTTATAATTTGTATATTCAATTTGACTGAAATTGAAGACAAATAAATCTTTTTCAACATTTATTTATTGATAAAAAAATATAAAACAGTATATATTTATGTATAACACTATGCATACACGCTTGGTCATTGAAATAAAAAAAAACTGACGAAATTATGTAATAGTGATTTATAAATGGTACGGTATTTCATTTGTATTAGTAACTGGAGTTCAGTAACCGGTATAATAACCCTTAATCTTCTAAGTGACGTAAACATGACGTCAGAAGGGATCCAGCACGAGATCAGTAGAGATGTTGAGGTCAATGTTCCGACTCGTCGCCATGTCAGCAAACCTATCCTTGATGACGCCAAGTTCTGTCCACTCCATCTCCGATAGCCCACAGGCCGTGATGTGTAGTGAACGCAGATCTGGGAATACAAAACCACACATTATATCATAAAACAATCATGATGATGTATTTCAATTAAGTAATGAAATGGTTTTGTTCCAAGGGCCAAGTGAGCTTATGCCATAGCGCCACGTTTGCCGTCATCCGTCTGTCCTGCGTCCGTCGTCCGGTCGTCCTGCGACCGTCAACTTTTCATTCAAACAATTTCTCCAGAAATACTGAAAGACGTAGAGTTATCATATTTGGCTGGAATTATTTTCCTTTGATGAAGCCAAACAAAGTTTGCAAAAAGGAAGTTTCCTTTGATGAAGCCCAACAAAGTTTTAGAAAAAATAACTTTGACCCATATTCAAGGTCACAGAGATCAAGTGTGTTAAAACCTTTAAACAACTTCTCCCAAAATACCGGAAGGCCTAGAATCATTATATTTGGCTGGAAGGTTCCTTTGGTAAAACCCAACAAAGTTTGTGAATAGAAATAACCTTGTCCCATATTCAAGGTCACAGAGGTCAAATATGGTAAAACCTTTAAACGAATTCTTCCAAAATATTGGAAGGCCTAGAATCATTATATTTGGCTGAAAGGCTCCTTTGATAAAGCCCAACAAAGTTTGTGAAAAGAAAAGACCTTGACCCATATTCAAGGTCACAAAAGTCAAATGTGCTAAACCTTTGAACAACTTCTGATTAACCTTAAGGCCTATGATCACAATATTTGGCCGAAAGGTTCCCTTAATGGTGCCCAGATAGTGTGTGAAAAAATAGCTTGACCCATAATGATATCTAAGGCCATCGGGGTTATATTTGGTAAAATAGTCGCCAATAAAGGCTTATATACAAATATGTAGAACCTTCCTGACTTAATGAATGGGACATATTTGGCTGAGAGTGTTCTTGGCATGATTTGGACAAATTATAAAGACCTTTCACAGTGGCGTCACACTGTTCCCAAAAAATAGATTGGGCCACGCCCATTGGAGGTCTGGAGGGCTTGGGATAAGTAATGTTACACAGTAAAAAAATATATGTGAGCTAATTAATTAATTCACAGCATTAAAATAAAGAAAACATGATCGGAAAGGGAATTGCAAGAGCTCCATTTTGATGCAAGATTCTTCATAATCATAGTACAAATAAATAAGAAATTCTAAGTTGAAGCCATTTGCTATGTAGTGTTTATAGGTCTACAGTAAACTGTTATCAGTATATCTCCAGTGGGCGGGGCTTAACTGACCATGGTGACATCACTAATGGTATGCATGAAACGTTTTATTATTGGTTTTGAGTTAGGATTATGGTTTATAATTACATGTACCTTAATTTTTCCTGTCTCTAAATTTAATTGTTGCTATATATTGTTGACTTGTGAATGTCTCAGATATGTTGTATCTGTGTTTGTAAACAATGATCAAAAGGGCAAGTAAGCTTCTGCTGTCCTGGGTCATCCGTCCAGCTTTAATTAAGAGTTTTTTCTGCTATATTGTTTGGCCATTTTCTTTCCCTGATTTAAAAACAAAACTTTCAAGTATATTTAACTGGAAACATCGTAAGAAAATCTCAATTCAACATTGCACAGATGAGGGGGCTGACTACTAAGGGACAGAACCCATATGGAGTAATTTGTCATATTGCTTTAAGAATCTACTGTGGAACATATGCACAGATATAGTACTGTTGGTCATAAAATTCCAGGTGAGCGATACAGGCCCTTTGGGCCTCTTGTTTTTAATTGTGGACTGGCTGAGCATTGCGGTACATCAGATTGTTAGAGATGGACTGGTTCAAACAATATCATAACAAATCACAGAATTCAGATATACAAATATCTACATCTAAATCCGTACGTAAATCATCGGGATTTATACTGTCAGTTCAATTAGGACTGGTAAATATGAAATGATCGACGTTTTACTTGACTTCATATAAAATGTGCATATATACACTGAACATATGTGGTGTGTTGTTCCGCACGTAAAGTGGTATTTTCTGAAACATTCAATAAAATCATTGGCATTACTTTCAATTAATATCAAATTACATTAATCACAATTTCATTCGTAAAAAAAAAGAAAAAAAAACTAGATCTACAATGTTCTGACTCTGCAGCTCTTCCTTTGTGACGTCACGACGTATGACGTCATGAAATTATATGACGTCACAATCAACACAAAGTAAGTTTCTATCGATCTTCGCTACGCTAGGTCATAATACATAGAGGATACATGACCATGTATTAGATTTATCCTGCAACACTGATTGAAAATCAGACCATCAAAACTTCAACAGATGTGTTGTTTAATCTGTGTTTACCTGACGTTTACGTTACGCTGAACCATAGTTTGACTGATAGTTATTGCTAAGCGCGGAAATATATCTCCAAACTTCCATGAGCATGACAGCGATTTTATGAATTTTCGTAAATAAACCTGTTCATTGCAACATAAAATCTTTTTTCTTGATGGAATCATTTCAACACTCTGTGTAATATCTTAATACGTAATACGTCATAAAATCACTCTGCAAAGCTTGGTACAACGTGTTTATTGAAATGTCTGGATGTCGTATTAAGCTATGCGTGTTAAAATTCGTGTAGAGATGAAGAAAGACCAAGATACTTATCTCTAGCAAGTCTGAACTTATATCTCAATAACGAACTTCTGATTTTAATAATTCTAATAGCCGCCCGGTCAAGAATATGCCCCTATGTATTGGATTTTTTTTCCCGAAATCGTCCAATATAGGCGAGAACGAATTTTATCGAATATGGGAGTTAGCGTACCCCACTCTCTGATTTTTGAAATTAATTTCAATCAGTTTTTATTTTTCTCATTCGCCGTTTATATAGTACGGAAGCGTATTCCGGTCACGTAGTGTTTTATTTTAACTCGAAATTTCGAGTGAGTAAACCGAAATTTTAAGTTAGTGATCCGAAATTTTGAGATATTAACCCGAAATTTCGAGATAGCAGCTCGAAATTTCGAGTAAGTAATCTGAAATTTTGAGTTAGTAAGTCGAAATTTCGTGTTATCTTGAAATTTCGGGTTAATATCTCAAAATTTCAATAACTTAAAATTTCAATAACTCAAAATTTAGGGTTATTATCTCAAAATTTCGGATTACTAACTCAAAATTTCGAGTTGCTATCTCGAAATTTCGAAATAAAATAAAACACATCGTGGCCGGAATACTCTTCCGTAATATAGGCTTAAGTATTATATACAATAATTATTTGAAAAGGGGGACATTTAATCATTAAAGCAGTGGTGTGTTAAGGTGTGTGTGGAATGAGAACTCTAATACGTGAAGAAATCCGTGTTTGTGTTGCTTTATGTCTTTGTCAATAAAACGTTTGTAATAAAGCAGTTTACCCCCCAGAACAGTTGTATGACATGCTAATTCTAAATTTATATAAAAGGTGTTAATCCGTATTATTTATTCGTGTATCTTTTGTATAATATTGTAAAGTATGTAACGATTGGTGTTCGTATTAATATAGATCATCATTATCAGACAGGGTGTGGTATTTTATATATATATATAATACTTTGTACATGGACAAAAATAACCACTCACTGATCTCGTCCATATATGTATACGTAATAGTATTACATTATAGATATATCTGTCATCCGCGTGATTAAAAAGCACAGTACACAAAGTGCCAACACCCTAATTAAGCTCACATGCTTCTACTGAGGTTTTTGGCATGACAAATAAGTATGTGGCACTGGAAGATATATTGAAATTTTGACCCACACAGAAAGTTTTCCTGGAAAAGATCCACATGGATGATCTAGTCACAGAAGTCTGTCGATACCATCGGAATGTGAATTTCCGATCGAGTGATTGGTTTAACAAATTGCCGATGTTATGTCCTGTAAAATGCCCCTTTCAAGTACACGTGCGGAAGTGACCCAAATGAATTAAACAAACTTTCAAGTGGTTTTGGTTTGTAGAAAAATAGACTTGGCCTAGATTACAAAAAACATGTAAGAAATATCAGGAAAAATCTGCTTGCCAGATTTCCGTTTTAAGCGCATCAGGAATTTTGACAAAGTGATTGGTAAATGATAATTATAAAATGTAGAGACTTATTTAAATTTCGTCTTTCCGAAAAAAAGCACAATGACGTCTTGAATCTCTTATTTACACGAATGGCATTAAGACTTCAAAATGGCACCGTTTCATTCTCTGTAATGCCTTTGTTTCTGCTACAAAGAGTAGTCTTAATTTCTTGGTCAACTGAGCTGTATTAATCAACTACTTACTGGCATTAAAAGTTGATAATCATCAGTTGAATAAATATTTCTAGTCTTTAGTATACAATTAATAGATAAACCATACAGGACAATTCGCACGTGCTCGTTTTCAGTACTCACTTGACTTGCGTTCATCAACTTGTTCTAGGATTGTCTCGATGGTGCTCAGAAGTACTGCTGCGTTGAGGCTTAAGTCGAACAATCGTTTACACTTATTTACAAGGTAGAGAACAGCATCATCAACAAACTCCTGGTTATTGTCCAGCTCTAGAGACGCCGCTTCTGTAATTGATACGTGACCACTTTCGATCAAATAGTTACAAAATTATATAAACGAAAACATTGAATGTTGAACATATCTATTTGACAAGATAATTATTTTTCGTTGTAAAAATATATCAAGCATATATATATATATATAGATGTCTTGAACTATATGCATTGTCGCAATGTTCTATACGGAGTTTCAACATGTAGAATACTGAAACAATCTTTGACCCAGAGTCTTTTAGAGATTTAATATTTTAAGGTGTTTGTGGGAATAATATGGGATAAATCACACAAATCATAGTTCTCGGGAGCTGTGAAAGTTATAGACTGTAAATAATAGCACCTCTCATCACAAGTAAAGAATTAGCGTGATACAGCTGCGGACAGGTCAGTAATCAAATACATCATACAGCTGTTTCATCCTTTATGAGACTCGTGAGTGAGAATAAGAACTTAGATATCTAAACCTATGAGGTTCATCTGAGAAAAACAATAATTGATCGAAAGAAATTCATGATTGGGAGGTGCGCCGAGAGAAACTGAGCAGAGTTACTTCCCTTCCCATATATAAAAGTAGAGAGAAACAGGAAACAATCTTGAACAGCGATAGAAACAGTCTAAGTTTAATCTAAAAAATAGTCAGAAAACGAATTCAAAATCAATCATGCAGAAACATGTATATCTTTTCCAGGGTAATCTAGGGGTCGGTGTTTATGTGAATTTTTTAAAATTATATTCCTAAAAATAGCAATCAGTAAGTATTGCAACCGCTACGACCTAAATTTTATTGCCACGTAATTGTTAATGGTTACCATGGCGACCACGTTCAATGATACCAAAAATATTTTCGTTTTCTTATTAATAAAATAACCTATCGTTATGGTTGTAATATGCATTCTTGCGTTGCTTTAGGGGTTTAAGGAAGGGAATGCCAGATTATATAATAAATTTGTTCTGCTTCCATCAAAACTGCACTATTTGCACTTTCTACAATGTTTGCTTTGGTGTTGCCGATTTAGGTGATTCACATATCCAGAAACAAGCATGTCCATTGGCTGTAGATTTCTATTGCTTTTAAAATGAAACTTATATTAAAATATCGCTGATTCATACAGCGGATCGAAAGAAGAAAATTTAGGCAGAACGAAAAGAAATTTAATTTGGAGTTACTGCTCTTGTGAACAAACCCATAGTTTATAAAGAAGATAACTCTAGAATAGTGATGATTTAGATACAATGATACACACACATGTACGACCTACAACATTTAAAGGTAGCTCGGAGATATATCATTTACTAAAGTGACGCGGATTCTAAAATTCATTTAACACTCCACGTTCTTTTCTGTCCGTGTACCAATCTTTTCTGTGTTTGAAAGTACTTCTCATCATCACACGTATGTTTCACAGCTCTTTGAGTTTGCCTGGTATATAACCATCCAGATACTAACACATAGACAATAAATTGTACCCGATTCCTATGTTCTCGATGAAAAGTGTGCGAGAGAAATTGTAACAACACTCTATGTGATATCGTACTCCAATCCTTACTTCCAGACAAGAAAGAGAAACCGTAAAATTGAATGCCGGGAGTATGTTAAAGGTGTAGAAAGTAACTGCTTACCAAGCGTAGCGACATTACTGTCCGCAATGTGTGTTATTGTGTCGCTCAGGTTCCATTCCGCGTCATCTTCGTACCCAGTCCAGATATGTACGTCTTGCACAGGTATCTCGGGTACTAGGATTGGAATAATTTCTGTAGACCTGGCCACGCTATCGAACCAAAACATCACCTGTAGGTTGGGACAGATGGACGTCAAATGTCGCCAAGCGAACGACGATATTCTGTGTAGGTGAGGGTTACTACGATATACCTTGATGTTGAAAAACTTTAATTTTCCTGCTAAAGTTTTCGAAAATATTTCAATTATTTCTTCTGAAATGTAATTATAATTCAGAGCAACGTAACTGAGATTCGTAAAATATGAAATGGCTATTTTAAATTTTTCGACGCTATAAACTGTAAACCGTGAGGGGAAAAAGTCTTCAATGTAGATCTCTTCCATAGTTTTACCAGATTTCTGACCAATGACCTCCATTATTTTCAAGCCTCCATTTAGGGGACATTGAGCTGCCGTCATATCAAAAACCTTCAAACGTTTTTGCGTTTTGAAGAATTTAACAAAATTGTTTGTGAATCTATCTCTTGCTGAATCGTGCTTCCAAAACCTGTCCAGTTCAAGGCGTTCCATCTCAAATTCTTTTAGTTGACTCGTCCTGAATTTCACTAGGAGATCTTCCATGCTCTTCTGGAACACCTTTGTTATATGATAGGAAGGGTGACTACATGTTATGGAGAGGTTTTCCACGTACGCGCCAAACTGTTCCGCAAACTTATTTGCTCGTACGCCGTTCGTGTGAGACTTGTATCCGCCCATGTCAAAGTGTCGGTTTCGCCATAAGCTCGGCGTATGGAAGAGGCGTGCCCAATTTGTACATGTAAGTGCTAGGTTTGCTTTGTCTGGGTCCCGCAAAAGTTTAAATATTTCTATCATTGCCACATCCGGTAGTGTTTCCCATATCGATTTTTCCATATTTTTGCCCCAGAAGCGGTTCCAAATATCCTCAGCTTTCCGTAACACCCATCCGACATCCATACGAGTCCCGTCTCCAAGGACTGATCATTTATGACGTCATAGTACTGCGCCAAAGCTAAGCGTCAGTATAAGCGTGTGTATAGTGACGTCATTGTTAATGACCTGTCCCGGATTTCAGCATAAAACTGAACTGTATAAGTCATGCACATACAATAATACAACATGAAGCCAGACAAAGAAGAGCAAAACAAAAGACGACAAGAAAAAGCAAAGCGTGACATTATCCCCGCCTGAAAAATAGCTGAACTTTGTAATTTGGCCTATTTGTTTCCATGGTAACAGGAAAAGTATTTAAATGGAGAACTTCCCCAAAGCAAAAGACACTACTGCCTTAATTAGTGTAAAACGTTTTTGAGCAATTATCTTGAATGGTTTCAGAGCACTGGGTCAGCAAAACTGAAATTTGTTTCGAGGGTTATTTGTTTCCATGGTAACAGAAAATGTATGAATAAAGTCTTTGACATCATTTTTTCTAGACTTTACAAATTGATAGAAAAAATCTTCAAAAGAAATGTATAAGAGTTTTCCTTTCACAGTTACAGAGATTGTAGAGAGGACTATCTATTATATTTGCTTTAAAAGAAATAAGTTTGTTGTCAAAATATGGTGAAAGATTATAAAGCTTTAGTCGGATTTGTAAAGGCGCTGCTTATATGTTTAACCAGTTTTCATTATTGAAACAGGAATGCTATCACTCACAGGTTTCTTTTCTTTTTGCTATTGAGAGTTTTCGTTCTGTTTAACAAATTATAGAAAAGCTTTAGAACCTTCAGCTTTTTAAGCAGTGCTGACTTGTCTCGATAGAAAAAAGCGGGTAAAGTTATAAACACTGCTGAAACTATTATGTTATACATTGTAATTCAGAAAATCAATATGAATTTGTCATGAAAATTCTTATCAAAGTCACCAATATTACATTAACAGCCTTTTTCTGAAAAAAAAAGAAAAAAGAAAACAAAAAACTCACCATTAATAGTTATCTTATCGTTGTGTCTTATATGTGTTTGCTGGAAAAATTCTAAACATTCAAATACTTCATCATAATTAATGTCAATGAGTTATCGAAAGAATACCCACATCTTGCAGTTTGCATGTAGTTAGGAGACGGGATGGGTTTTACGCCAAATCAGGTCCTCTCGGCTGCTTCCGTGTAAGAGACGATATATTTCTCATTCACGGAAAGTGACGAAAGTTCCCGAAACTTAAACTGGAAATCAGTTTCATCGGAGAACAAATGTGCTCTAATCTTGAATGGTAAAAATTGTAATTTATTAACGAGATATTTGTTATATGCGTTTCAAACCATTAGCATTTATGTTTCTTAAATTCATTTGAATTATCTAAGACTTTTAGTATGATTTCATTTCAAAAGGAAAGCTTAAAAAGATATGTTGTTGCTAAACATACTTTTTAATCCATTGAACGGGTCGATTGTCCTTATTGCGTGCTGCGGTAAGTGTATTGTGGGTAATAAAGTGCCAGCAACACCTCCGGTTAAAGTTGATCGTATGGGCACCTTAAGCTAGTTGATTTTTAATTGTCACACACAATATCATAAAGTGCTCACTATAAAATCACTTGATAAAACGTCACAGTATGTTCATTTTTACAAGTAACATACCTCTGCCATTGTATGTTTTGTGTCAACACTATCAGTAACTATTCATTGAAATTAATTTGACGCACAACTGGTTTTTTGCTGCCCCCCTCTCTCTCTCTCTCTCTCTCTCTGACTCATACTCCCCCTCTCTCTCCCTCCTTCCCTCCTCCCTCTCTCTCTGACTCCTACTCCTCTCTCTCTCTCTCTGACTTCTACCCCTCCCCCCCCTCTGTCTCTCTCTCTCCCTCCCTCCTCCCTCTCCCCCCTCTCTCTCACCCTCTCTCTCTCCCCCCCTCCCCCTATCTCTCTCTCCCTCCCTCTCTCCCTCTCCCTCTCTCTCTCACTCCCCCCCCCCCTCTCTCTCTCCCTCCCTCCCCCTCTCTCTCTCTCTCCTGGCACTGTATGCATATGCTGATGTGTTTACACTCTCGTGCTCTGGTCACATTGCTTGCAATGCATTTATTTTATCTTGTCACAAGCCGAATTATTATCATAAGTTAGCGCCGTATCTTTTCCTGGATGAAAATACGTAAAGAATTTTGTAAATATGACATTTTATGGTAGTGTTTAAAATGAAGTTTCCTTTCCAATTCATTGTTAAGTAATGTTACTATATCTACATACTTGTTCTTTATTCTCTATGATGATACCAGCTGTATAACAAAACCAGTCAGTGATAAGAGACAATTCACCTAGTCATAGACAGTGTAAAAAATATACCCAATCACTATATATTTCAAATTCCTTAAGTTAATAGTGTTACCTATCCTATCAAACATCCCTCTCTGACGTGATTCTCACTAAGTTCAATGAAATAATGTTTTATTATCATCATTGCTTTTACAAACATCACAGTTCTCGTTCAACTCGATGCTCCAACTTTATAATAAAGTTATTAAATCTGATTAAACTAGAATTTATGTAATGAAATAATTTCCATCGAAATATTTTTTCGTCATTTTCCATTATTATTTTAAAAACAAGTCAGAAAAAACATGAAAACATGTACTTGTTATTTTCTCTTTTATTAAATTTATCTTTCCAGAACCTCCGCAAATTAAAGGCATACAAGATGTGTGTTTTTTATCCCTAAACATCCCGTACATATCCTTACATTGTCTAATGATATCATGTCGCGGGTTGTTTTGTGGTAAACATAAACATCCTGCCATGAAAGTTGATTTACAGTTTTCATTTTGTAATTCATTTAACCACACTCGTGGGATTGCTCGTTTTACAGATGCTGACTTATGTAACCAATTACGTTTATATTTCAATATCTGATATATAAGATCGTCATCAGTTTTCTACTATTTTCACTAAATCATTATATATATATCGTACCCGAATCGCTCCAATTTTTAAACCATAATGTTTTGCTATTTAAGTGGTTTGATATATTTATAACCACGAGTAATTTGTTTTATCTCACTATGATCTCTGTTATCACCAATATCTGATTGTGATGTATACATATGTATATCAAATTAGAATCTTAGTCATACGTGTTTCTTCCGTTTTGAAGAGGTTTGTAGAACCCGTTTTTATTTTAGATATTAAGTTAGTTTTTCTTAAATGCTCAAATTAAAAGCGAGATGTAATTCTCCATTTGGCTTCATTTTTCATTGCCTAATCCATGAAATGCGAAGAATATTGTCATGACTTCTGTCATCTGTATCTACATCGTTTACATTAAGGTAAGTCATGGCTTCATATATTAGTTTTAAATCGTTAATTCAATATATTGTAAGCATTGCACAAGAAGGCGATATGGATTTCGAAAATAAGTGTTCTACACTTATATAAAGTTCTTCTCCGTTAAGAAGCACTTATGTGCAACAAACAAAGAAAAGAAAAAAAAAAAAAAAAAAAAGAAACCAGAAAGTAAGGGAGGGACGGGAAAGGGAGAGTTCTTCAGCTTATCATTGCAGTATGACGTGATGTTCGAAAGCCCGAGTCATCACACCGAAGACCATACATTAGAAAGAAAGGTGCGAGAAAACTATGCTGTAATATACTGATACAAAGGAATATTCACATTTGAAAGCGAGTATCGATTGCATTCGTGCAGTCAGATCATTATTTCCAAACAGTTCAAGAAGAAGACTTTGTAACAAGTGCTGATTGGTTTCATCTCCAGTTATATCTGTGCATAAAGGACTGTCAATAGGTTTTCTACGATACAAGAAAATTTGAGAGAACTGCACCAACATTTAGTCAAACATTGATAATCTGGCCCATCATGCTACCGCTATAATAGAAAGAATGATTAAGTCCATTTACATAACTGTTGTTTTTCAGTTTGTAAATACTTTATAGGAACTGGAAACGAATTTTAGAGGCCAATCAAAGAAGGCCAATGATTTTCTATACCAATTTGCGTGACAAACGATAGGATGAAAATGATTACTGGAATATTGTTGTCATGTGAAATCGGTTATTAGGAGAAGGAAGTATGCTATGAAGGAATTGAGGTAATAATCCACGAAATGTTTTATAAATCTGATTTATTTTGTTTTGTTCGCATCTTTGCTTGAGCAGAAGCCTGCTCGTTCAATATAACGTTTAACCAGTCAGTGTAGAGCACCAGCCACTGTACGTGCTGTTTCTAATTGAATATCTCCCGATAAGTCAGACTGAGCGTTTGTAGGAGAGTCACAGATAATATGACTATTCTGATATTGGTTGAATAAGAGCGAAATATGAAGTTAAGTGACAGAAAGTTAACCTAAATTTTGATTTTGATAAGATATTTATTTTCGGCGTGATTTTTGACAGATTTTTGGTGCATTTATTTGAACACTTATTGCATGAATTAAGTATACCGAGATGCTTATTAATTGGGTTTCAGTTATGTTAAGAGTAAAATTTAACAGCCATTTCATCGATCGTTCATGACTGATTTAAGATCGAAAAGTACGTATCTATTCTAAGGGTATCAATGGAGGTTTACAGAACTGACATCCGCAAATAAGTTTATAGAATTTATATTTTCACATTGTCATTAATGAATATGAGGAACAAAAGAATACCAAATATGGAAACTTGTGTAACACCATCATTAATGACAATTTTGAACTTATTCCATCAATTACAACATTTTGCTTCCGGTTAAGAATAGTATATTCTTACAAAAGGTTGGTATTAATGGGAATGTTTAAACATATAACTGGCGAGGGCTTCCATGTTTGGCACGTAGTTCAGGTGTTCAAGACACAAGGACACGATTAGAGGTAACAGTATATGTCAAAAATTATCATTATAATGTTTATCTTAAAATCCACCACGGCAAATTGGTATACACTCTGCCTAAATTTCTCCTTGATTCTGCCACGAAAATGATTTATCTGACACGCATGGAGCTAACTGTGGTCAAAGTTTGTACAAAACATACACAAGT